TGGTCCCATGAGCAAAGATCTCACACTAGACTTTGAGAAGGTCCTGTGCCAGGTAAGCAAGTGCGAATGCTAACAGTCTGCTTTCTTCAAGTATTATAGACCTGCTTGAGTCATTTGGTACAGCAAATATAGGCTACATACTGTGCACAGTGTACTAAAGAAAGAGTATTACAGTTGTGTGCTATTCTGAACATAGCAAGCGTGTCTTTCTAAGTGAAACTGAATGTGAAGTATTACAGTTGATGATCACCAGGTGGCAGAAACTAACTGTGAAACCAGACGTGATCTACGTCAGATATACAGGTAATGCTGCGTTCTACCAGTAGAGGGCGTCACTGACCATCAAGGTGAACCTGATCTTACCAAGTACAACATGTTCCTGGATCAACATCTCTGTTGATTCTGGAACAACATTCCAATCAACCAATCAGATTTAAAGGGACACGTTTACAGTTTATATCAAGTTTCAGGGTTAGGTGCGTCTACATCAGTGTTATTCACCTATCACTTCCCTCAGATTTTAGGGATAACTTATGGGTAGGGTTAGGTTTAGGGATAGGGTTAGGACAACATTTTTGGACAAGAATGTTGTTCCATCAACAAAATATGTTAATCCAGGAGCATGTCTTGGCAAAATCAACCGTCAATCAACAAATGAGATAATGGCGTAAACCACAGTAAATATCTATAAACCACTGTAATGATAGAAGGACTTTTAAATGGGACACTAGAATTGTGGTGTTTTTTTATTTATTTGCTTTGTCACTATTATAATTAATTATTTTAGTAGTTGTAGTAGTAATAGTAGCAGTAGCCTTCAAATTAACATTTGAATATAATACAACTTTTGCACAGACAAGAAGCAGAATTATTACTATGACTAGACTGAATCGGAAAATGACAATTTAAAAAAAAAAAAAAAAAAAACATTTAAGCTTCAAATCAATGGGACCCTTGTGAGTGTGTCACCTGCTATTGCTTGGTGTGTCAAAGCTTTTATTTTATTTAAATCGTTTTATTTTATTTCATTTTTTTTGTGTAGTTTATTTTTTTATTTTTAGACAATTTATATCATACATTCTTCATCTTAGTTAAACATATACTCCATAACTTCACATATTCATAGCCAAGCTGATATAAAGTTTATCAGCCAGAAAAACTAGAATTACTATTTTAACATAATTATTAACATATAGTGTTTTACTTTTGTCTATTTGTGGAGTCCTCCCAGGCCTGTTTATTTGCACATGGGATTCCTGTTTATCCAGTCAGAAATACACTGCTCTGCACACAGACTCTCTATTCAGGCAAGGCGTGTGTGGGTGAGTGCGTGCGCGCGTGTGTGTGTGTGTGTGTGTGTGTGTGTGTGTGCACTGAGAGACCTTCTGTGCTATAAGACTGGGGTTAATTAAGGTAAATTACCCTAGCACTTCATTTAACACAAACCCAGTATGTCCAGGAAAGCTGCATCTACTAACATAAACACACTCAGACAGAGAACTCCTTCATACTATCTACAAACTCTGCATACTCCAGATCTGGACACTGAAAGGCTATAAAAGTGAAACCCAGATGATGGTGACAAACTCACACTGTTGCTTAAACCAGCAACTAACTAAACTGAAGGTACATGCATGAACATGATTTGGTAAATTTGCCATTTGTGAAAGACAATGCTTGCAAAGCAGCAAAAGAATAGTGTTATAAGTGTTGAAGGCTTTGGTTTGTGGCATTGTGCATTTTTTATTCTGCGCACAAGAATCAAAACAGTTGTGCAGTGTAAAAAATAGATATAAAATGTTTTAATATGAGACAAAACCAATCACAATTCAGTATGCAAATAGATGTAATAAAAAAACATAATGTCATTGCTGTCAGTTCACTTACAGATTTACAACAATTATATATATATATATATATATATATACACTCACCTAAAGGATTATTAGGAACACCATACTAATACTGTGTTTGACGCCCTTTCGCCTTCAGAACTGCCTTAATTCTACGTGGCATTGATTCAACAAGGTGGTAAAAGCATTCTTTAGAAATGTTGGGCCATATTGATAGGATAGCATCTTGCAGTTGATGGAGATTTGTGGGATGCACATCCAGGGCATGAAGCTCCCGTTCCACCACATCCCAAAGATGCTCTATTGGGTTGAGATCTGGTGACTGTGGGGGCCATTTTAGTACAGTGAACTCATTGTCATGACTCATGTTCAAGAAACCAATTTGAAATGATTCGAGCTTTGTGACATGGTGACTGGAAGTAGCCATCAGAGGATGGGTACATGGTGGCCATAAAGGGATGGACATGGTCAGAAACATTGCTCAGTTAGGCCGTGGCATTTAAACAATGCCCAATTGGCACTAAGGGGCCTAAAGTGTGCCAAGAAAACATCCCCCACACCATTACACCACCACCACCAGCCTGCACAGTGGTAACAAGGCATGATGGATCCATGTTCTCATTCTGTTTACGCCAAATTTTGACTCTACCATCTGAATGTCTCAACAGAAATCGAGACTCATCAGACCAGGCAACATTTTTCCAGTCTTCAACTGTCCAATTTTGGTGAGCTCTTGCAAATTGTAGCCTCTTTTTCCTATTTGTAGTGGAGATGAGTGGTACCCGGTGGGGTCTTCTGCTGTTGTAGCTCATCCGCCTCAAGGTTGTGCGTGTTGTGGCTTCACAAATGCTTTGCTGCATACCTCGGTTGTAACGAGTGGTTATTTCAGTCAAAGTTGCTCTTCTATCAGCTTGAATCAGTCGGCCCATTCTCTTCTGACCTCTAGCATCAACAAGGCATTTTCACCCACAGGACTGCCGCATACTGGATGTTTTTCCCTTTTCACACCATTCTTTGTAAACCCTAGAAATGGTTGAGCGTGAAAATCCCAGTTACTGAGCAGATTGTGAAATACTCAGACCGGCCCGTCTGGCACCAACAACCATGCCACACTCAAAATTGCTTAAATCACCTTTCTTTCCCATTCTGACATTCAGTTTGGAGTTCAGGAGATTGTCTTGACCAGGACCACACCCCTAAATGCATTGAAGCAACTGCCATGTGATTGGTTGATTAGATAATTGCATTATTGAGAAATTGAACAGGTGTTCCTAATAATCCTTTAGGTGAGTGTATATATATATATATATATATATATATATATATATATATATAAATAATAATAATATGCATATGGTTGAAAACTAATTAAATGGAGACTTCTCACCTCAGAATTTGTCTCCTGATAAAAAGTCTTCCGTAATCTCAAAGTCTCGGTTACACTTTATTTTGAGGTGTCCTTGTTACAGTGTAATTATACATTTATGTACTGAGTAATATTATTTTGTTCTCACTATAGGGTTCGGGTAATGATTAGGGTTTGCTTTAGGGTTAGTTACTTGTAATCATGTACAATTTACAGTTATTACTGTAGTAAGTACTTGTAACATTTGTAACAAATACAGTAAAATAAAGTGTTACTGAAATCTCAACAATGCCGTAAACTGTTCTTATATTTGCAAAGACACTAAAGTCTGCAATCAATTCCAAAATAATCAAACATATTCTTCCAAGAGCAAATGTCCTGAGCTGAATTAATTATACTTTTTCAATTAACGATAGATTAATATGTATTTATTTCTAAGTCTACAGGGAATTTTAGGAAATCATATGAGACAAACCTGATACTTAAATGAAACATGACAGAGAACTCCATTAGGATTCCTGAGCTATTAAAGAGCAACCTCAGGGCAATAAGATATTCCTCTGGGGGATGCTCTCATAATAACTGCAGCAGTGATCGTATTTATAGCATTACTGTAAGCTGCCACCGCAGTCTCACTCTTCTTACAGACGCAATGAATTCATGATCAGAGTTTTGCATCTTTTAGCCTGCCAATAAGCTTTGATGTCATAAACTTTGACAAAAATTACATTTAACACAGTGTAGTATAATGCACTGTATACTATTTAAAAGTCTGGTGTCGGTGTAAATGTTTTTTTAAAAGAAGTCTCTTATGCTCACCAAGGCTGCATTTATTCAATCAAAAATGTAATATTATTATTACTGTTTTCTATTTCAATATATTTTAACATATAATTTATTTCTGTGATTTAAAGCTGAATTTGCAGCATCATTACTCCAGTCTTCAGTGTCACATTCAGAAATCATTCTTATAGGCTGATTTGCCTTTTTTTATTTTATTATCTTTACTGTAAACAGTTGCGCTCTTGCTGTTTTTGTGGGAACTGTGATAGTGATACAGTGTTTTTTCAGGATTCTTTGATAAACAGAAAGTTCAGAAGAACAGCATTTTTTAAAATATATAAGCACTTGCATCGCTTCATAAAACTGAGGTTGAACCACTGGAGTCACGTGGATTACTTTAATAATATCTTTACTACCTTTCTAGGGCTTGAAAGTAGTATAGTAGTTGCATAGACTGTCAATGGGGGGGACAGAAAGCTCTCAGATTTCATTCAAAAGATATTAATTTGTGTTCTGAAGATGAAAGAACGTCTTGAATTGACATGAGGGTGAGTAATTAATGCAGAATTTTTTTATTTTGGGGTGAACTTTCCCTTTAAGGTGTTTTTGTCCAATTACACCATATGGAAGAAAGCAGCATGAACATCTTCAAAACCTCTCCTTTTGTGCCCCAAGGAAGAAAGAAAGTCATGCGGGTTTATTAAAATGACACCAGTTAATGTTAACAGAAATTTATCTTTTTAATTCATCCAAGTATGAACCCAGTTATAAACCAATTATGAGAATGCATCGATTCAGTCAGAGAAAATCATCTTCTCAGGCATCTCTGGTGGCCAGTAAAAGAAAGGCTTGCGCATTGACTAGGTGTAGGGTCACTTTCAGTTGGAGAAAGTCTCCCTCTCTCTCACTTTCCAAACTGTCAGACAGGAAGAGGGTTGTGATTTGGTGGCCGGTTGTATGAGACGCCACTTGTGTTCAGCTGGCCGCTGGAAAGGGAGGGTAGGCGGCAGTTACAAATGCTCCTCTTAACCCACTGACAGCCTCTGGCACTACTCGAAGTGAGAGAGAGCGAGGAGAGAGAGAGAGACATTTCTGAGTATAGAGGGGGAACTTGTTCAGCGGTGGACTTTTATCATGCTGAACTGACCAGCGTCTTCCCCTCTGGAATACTCTACAAAACAACTGCTAGCAGGACGAGACTCGCAACACACGGATCATTTCACTGCAAGAAGCCAAAATGCTCAGCTTTGGTGAGTGTTTGTTTGATCCCTCTTCAATGGAAACTTACATGCGACGTTTAGCCACACCTGATTCAGAGCTCAGAAACAGATGTTAGGACAGTGTGACTGGCATCAAACAAACACATGCAGAAAAAAAGTGCATTGCATGCAAGGACAGAGCCACAAAACTGTGGCGAATCACAGAGCTTGTACGTTCAATACTTTACTGAACCCCAGACGCTAATGTTTGTCTTAATTAGATCGGATGGAGACAGATCCATCAACGGGCTCCCAGCTAAACCATGCAATCTGCCCAATGCATCAGTGGAAGTACAACATGCGCAGATTCATATTGCAGTTCTGAGACTAACCTACAATTTATTACCATTACAAAAAAGTTGAATGTTGTGTCTCAGGATAATTGAATGCAGGGTTTGCTTAGACGGCTTTTAGTCATTGCATAATATGGAAATGGTTTGATTAGAAAAGGCTCTGCTTGCTAGAGTTTGACAAATGCTTTTGATTAAAGGGGGAACTGTACATGTTCATAAACAGTGACAGAGGTGTTTAAGGGAGAGGGGTAATAAACCAGAGAAACACATAAACTGAAAAGAAATCGATGGAAATCGGCAATCTTAGTTCAACTAATTTCAGTTAGTTTGCAATAATTAGGCACCCTAGCAACCAATGAGCATTACCCTAGCAACCACACAGCAACACGGAACATTTCAACATTGTAGCAGCAAGTTTGCATCGGCAAACGCAGCTCAACTTCCTTCTTGTGTCTTATTTTGGATTCAACATACTTCAACAAAGAGATAACAGTCGCATTATGATTTGTGCATTATTCTGTTCTCGTTCTGTTTAATGAAAGTCCGTCTGATCATCAGGGAGGACTGGAACAAACGCATCTTCAAAAAGTCTTTGTGGTAATTTATTTATTGAAATGCTATTTCTGTCAAATCATCCTTTACAAACACAGTCATGAACCAGTGTTTCTTTTGGTCTATTTTTCTTATAGAAAGTTTTCAAACTAAACAGTATGACGGTTCTGCACCATTACATCAATGTTTGAGTCAACATTTCAAGTGGGAAACAATTTCGTACTGTGCCACTGAAATAACTGCAAATTAGATTCTGCACACAGTTGGAAAATATCGTTGTAAATGACATAAAAATAGAGTGAATATGCCATTCAACCATTTTCCCTACATTTTACAGTTTAGCTTTTTAATCACGGTGTTTCAGCACAACATTAGGTTAGTTACACACTGCAAACACACTTATTCTGGGAGATAAATCAAACAGCACTGCTCGAAACCAATCAAACACATTTTTTAAAAACATAATTATGATGCTTGCAAAGGATACATTTTTACTAGGCTTAAAATGTTGGCAAAAGTTTAAAAAAAAGAGTCCCAGGCATCTAAAGCAAAGTGCTAGACTATCAGCCAGAGAGCTGATCCCATTGCAAAAGATGTTGGCAGATATGCTACTTTTGCTCCAGTCTAAAGCAGGCAAACACGAGGCTTACACAGGCCAGTACATCACAGTGATCCATCCAGATGTCTATTAAGAGAAGCAGAATTAACTTCACAAACATACTGCCTTGCATTATACTGCCCAAATACACAAGTGACTTATTTGAATGGCAGTAGCCCAACTCACAACTGATTTCAATATAGTTGGTGCTAGCATGCTTCTAAGCAAATGACTCATAAGTGCAAATAACAATAAGCAAACATAAGCAAAACACGTAGCACACACAAATATTAGGTAAGATTTCAAATCATACGGTTACATAACATACATAACTATTTTTATTTCATACTTTTTTTTCCTCTCTCACTTCATTGGCCATCTTGAATGATTTTTTTCCACTGAGTTTATTGCAAGATTGCCTTCTCCACAATGGATACATGCTAATAGAGCACAGCAGTGATGACTTACAGTATGTTTGTAGGCCAACCTGCAAGTTACCATCACCCTACTCTCAGCCTCAGACGTCACACCCATGGGCCGTTGGCTGAACGTCTGATGCATACACTCTAAACAAAAATGGTGCTAAATAGCACTAAAAGTGGTTCCTTGGCTTGTAATCATAGGGGAACCACTTTAAGTGCCATATAGCACTTATCTTTGTCAAATGGTGCTATGTAGAACCTTGAGAGGTGCCATAGAGCACCTTAACCACCCCAGAGAACCACTGAAGAACCAAATTGGGCTTAACAGGTTCTTTAAATGGTAGATGACCACCGCAAAGAACCCCTGAAGAACCGCTGAAGAACCATTTTTTTTTAGAGTGTATGGCACAAAAAAATGGAAACACTTCAGGAAGTCTCCATCTGATTGGTTGAATTCTACAGGACTTCCGGGAGACGTGTGTGTCGCGTACTTTAACAGTCCGCCTGGAAACAAAGATGCGGTGAGGCCAAACCCCCTCATGGAAGAAGAACGCCGTCATATATACAACTGTGACAATGAGCGCATATCAGGATCAACTAAACGCTGCATGTAATGTTCGCTGCATAAACTCTTTAAAATACGTCCAAGAGCTTTACACACCAGTCTGTTATTGTAGGGATATTCGTTACATTTTCACGCCCCTAAACATGACATGGAACAAAACGAACTGTGATTGGTTGCGTTGCATGTCGGTCAGACGGCATCCTTGGCCAATGAAAGGTGGAGTCTAGACATTCTGCCGTCAGTCTGAAGGTCTGGCTATGCGAGACTACATCACCCTGGTTCCCTTGACAAAAACCTAAAGGATTTTCCCTTTAAAAAATACGTCAGAAGTAAAAAGCTAAATTAAGTCTCCAAAGTCATACCCACACTTGGGGTTTTTGCACCTGACCACTTGTCTAAATACATGATGTATTTCTGGAGTTTGGCCAAAGTGTTCAAGTGAAGACTGCACGTTTTTTACAATTTTTGTTTACTCAATGGGACACACTTATACACTGAGGGATTGTGGTGCTTAATTTTCAAACGTTTTACAAAATACATATGATCTCTGGAGTCTCTATACCAATAAAATGTGCAACACTTTTCGACCAAATTATATGTTACATCTAATTAATTTAACTTACACTGGAAAGTTTTCCTAGACATGACACACAATCGGGGCACGTAAGTTCCTGAAGGTAATGAATGAGGGGATACGCTCAAAAACTGCTCCAAAGCGGTATTAAAGTTAGTATGGATTAGTGTGCGTTAAGTGTACTGTGCTTTGCCATTTTTCAGACCAGAGACGGTCACTTACTTCCTGTCACGAGCACATGCTCTCAAGTGGCCAAGACTGCAAGGCTGTTAAAGCGGATTAGTGAGTAGATGAGTTTACCTGTTCGTGTGATGACACTGAATGTCCTCGACAACCTCTTTAGTCCCATTTAGCCTTAGAAACTGCCTTCAAGACAAGTAAAAGCTTTTAATGAATCACAAGGGGGTATTACTGATGTGTTTTATGTAGAATAATATCTAGAACTTGTGTTAACCACAGAGCTTATTTCAGGCATTTAACCAAAAACCCATAAAAGCCATTAACTTGGGACGTTGGAACTGATAGTGCCGAAATGCTAACTTGTTTCCAGATTTTTGCCTCCAAAAATACACCATCCCTGCACTCTATGCTGCCATACCTCCACCACACATAGTCCTATATAGTATCACTACACTGAGGCCAAAAGCGATCTTTAGCTTCTGTTACACCTCCATGTCATACTGACATGAAGGGCATTGATGTATTTGGATCATAAAGAGAGATTGCAGGTTAAATTTTGTTCACGCATGTGTTCATTTTTAAAGTAAGATGCATACTGATTACACATTTAATCAGCTGGTTTTAAACTGGAACATTTCTATTTTTAAATTTGTATTTTTTGAGCACCTAACCCAAACCCTACACTTAACTTAACGTAACTGTACTGTAATTTTTAACAGTTACTGTACTTCAATCTGCATGTTACTGTACGTGTTCGGTGTTCTATACTGAGAAATGTTTAGGTTCAGGTGCTCAAAAATATCTACATAATCTAACTAAGATGATACAATTCCAACGCCTTTGGCGGCAGGATATTTTTAAGGTAGGCTATGCCTATTTACTTCTCTGTATATTTACGCTAAATATTTGTTCTCACTCAATGCAATGTTTTTTGGTCTGCGTCGGTAAAAATACACTTTTCTTCGCGACGCGACAGTGCAGTGAGAACGGGTTGTGAAAAATCATTCCGCCTACCTTTATGAACATCCTTAGTTTACATCAGGAGCACGACCATGCCTTTAAATGCTGTCTATGTAGGCTGCTCACTAGGGCTTGGAACAGAAAGCCCCACGGTTCATTGCGTCAGGATCCATGCTGCTAACAAGCCTGGACAAGGGTCTCTCCGTAGACTAATTTCCCTATCAAACTTCAACAGCACCACAACATTAGAAAACTTTCTGGACGCTGGAGCCATTTGTTAGTATTTGAAGTTGGGAATAACCTGTGCCAGAGAAAACAATGGAGCTGCTGGGTAATGTAGTGTTTAAAGGCCAAGAGTGGGAGCTACTGTCATAAAGTTTCATTTGTGGAGGTCATAATGTTTCTAGACTTCAAAGGAAGGAAATATTTTAATTCTCACATGAGCAATCTGGGTAAGACTGAGGGTAATGTCTTTCCATATAAGTGATTCATGCAAAAGTGATATGGATTAAATGTCAAATAAATTTGTGATGGGTGAAGGAGAGAATGTGCATGACAATTTATTAGTCTCACAATACGGTTGAAGGGATAGTTCACCCAAAAATGAAAAATTACTCACCCTCATTTCGTTCCAACCCATACACAATAGGCCAACATTTTCTGTGGAATACAGAAGAAATTTTGAAGAATCTTGTGTTGAGAGAAACAGACCAAATTTTAAGTCCTTGACAGTGGATTTCGTAGCAGAACAACTTAAACCTGAACCTCCAGCTATATCAAAATTGATTTTTAAAACAGTAAAATGGTACAATATTTTAGCAAACATAAAGTGTGTCTCTATGATGTTGTAGGCTATCTCAGTGGCACGATGGCATTGTATAAGGCCATACAGCTCGATTGTTAAAGCAGTGAATTTTATATCTATAACATTAAGACTTCATAGATTTTACGTGAAATATGTTTTACATAATCTATATCTTTACTGCCCCTCTCATTTCAAAACAAATAAAAAAAAGGAGCAATATTAGCAAACAACTTCTGGCTCCAATCCAGGAAGTTTACTGACTGGTTTTAAAAAGGTCCCAGACCACAAGCCTTCATGCAGACAATTAGGCCTATGACAAAGAGAAATATGAATATCTGAGAGATCATGAAACTTTGCACATGGAATCTTCTCTTTGTGGCAAAGTAATGCCCACTATCAGCACCAGGTGACTATGACATCATTCTCACCAAGCGCTTTATCCAGAAAGTACATTGCGATTTAGACGCTAGCAGTCACAGTATATTCCCACATGTCAGCGTGAATATGAGCTCATCTCACATGACTCCTAATGTATGTGCAGGGGGTCATTTATAATGCATGACAGATCCCGTCATGCCTGTAAGGAAAGAAAACAACAAAAACCATTAGGTTTAGACCCCTGATGATAATAATGCTTATATCTGTATAGTGAGATTTGCGTAAACGGATCAAATGCAATTATTACTGGGGGTAGACAGTTACCCTTCAATTACAGCATAATTAATTTTTCAGTCAACTGGTGCCTTGATCAATATAATTAAAGACCATCATTATCCATATATTACAGTTTTTCTTCTTCATAATGGATATATATTTATTATTTAGTATCTTATATTTATTAATTCCTTAGCACCTTCCATACAATTTTTATTGTTTTTTATAGGCTATTGTGTATACATATTATTTCCTTGTCATTACTTGTTTAGTTTACAATGCTTTGTCGATATTGTACGTAAACATAAATTGAAATTGAATTGATTCGCGTAATCAGATTGTATTTTATAATTGGATTGATAAACTTGACAGTTTCACATTTAAATGATGTAATGAAATCAAAATGTCCAAAATGAACTATCCCTTTAAATCTGTGCAATCCATTTTATTTGCACATTTCCTTCATTTTGAAGGCGTACAGTAAAAATTCCCTCTCACGGTCATGGGGCAATACTTTCTCTTTTTTCCCCCCTCCCGTCATGGAGCCGAAAAGAAAAGCGCTCTTATCTGCGCCTGTAGCTCTCTATGATTTCTGAGAACACTTAGGGCACAGGAGGATGGGAGAACAGACTCCTAACTGAATTTTCTAATTGCTCTCGTCTGCAGAGCGGCCCCCTCCATTAGCAGTGATGCATCCTGGGAGAGAACCTCCCTCTGTGGCCATCCTGCCTCTGAGAAACACCCACCACCAGCAACCGCACCACAGGAGGAGAACCAAGAGGATGGAGAGGGGGAAACCGGGACTGCGCTCCAAGAAACTGGCCATCCTGTCACGGTCGCTCATCATCTGTAGCTCCAGCACCAATGAGGACGCCTCCAGCCCAGAAGAGAGGTACTGTGAGCCCTGGGACGCTGGACTTGAGGAGAGATACCACAGGGACCCGCTGGAAGGGCCAATGGGAAGTTCGGAAAAGTGCATCACGAGGAGCATCAGTGTCCAGGCGTCTCAGAGGGGACAAGAGGGCCCCAAAAGGACTATGAGGAGGTCCTTCTCCATCAAGGTATGTATTACTGATGACATCACAGCAGCTGGGCTTTCCTATTGGTTACATCAGATGACATGTGATTTTCACAGGTAGAATAGACCTTAATCAGGGTAGCGCCATCTTTAATGAAAACATGAATGAAAACGAGGCTGTGAAGGACAGAAGTACAGTGCGGTTAGTGGATTGTACTGTTGTTAGTACGTTTATATGATGCTTGCCATTGTAAAGAAAGTCTTTATGTCTATATAGCCTCATTTTCATCCGCGTTAAATTCAATATGACGTCTAACCTGACTAAGGTCTATTAACTTTTGTCTCATTTAGGAAGAACTTAAATCATTTAAGTTTCTTGTTTCTATCACTATTTTCTAAACTTAAACCATTTAAGTTTCTATCACTCTTTTTCTAATTGGACTAATTAATGATTCGTCCAGAAACTTTAGAAAGAGCTTTTCAAAAAATTAGCCTGCATAATGCACAGCTCTCCTGTCATGTTTAATGTATTCTGCCGTATACTAAACATTTTTTTTTTTTTTTTTTTTTTACTCAATTTTGTATTATTTTGTATTGAGGGAAAGATATGCATTCACCGGCCGGTCTCTAAAGTGTTAACACTGTTATTTTTGCCGTTTATTAATGTGAAGCTGCTTTGAGACAATCTGCATTGTATAAAGAAATGTGAACATACACTATATAATATTTTATAAGCCTTTCACTTATAGACCTTTTAGAGACTGTCTCATTATGATGATATCTGAGAATGTCAGAGTATTTCTCAAAAGTTTTCCAATGTTAATTCTGGCTTGCAGGATCTCTCCTGAAATGAATCATTATCACATGGCTGGTGTGATGGGAGATTCTGTGGTTCTGCCCAACTCATTACTCCTGCACAAAAGAGAGCTTGTTGTGATACAGAGAGACACAGAACGCAGAGCTCATACAGCTCACATAGGACATTCTTGTGAAGTCTTAAAGCATAACATACTGATAAATCACTCTGTGACCTTTGCACAACATATAAAAAGTGTTGTAACAACATTTACTTTGTAATGGCACTGCTGGGACTTTATGAATAGGAGATAGACTATGTTCAGAAGGGATTGCTATAGCCAGACGTTTGACTTGTGGCTCAAATGCTGATGTACTTTGTAACTTATTCTGACCAAGAACGAAAAAAAAAACAAACAGTTTTGGTGTCAGATCAATCTGAAATAGATGATGCCACAATAATAATACTGCAGAAAATAAATATCATTCAGAGTATGCTGCCCTACAAAGCAAAAAGGCAGTAGGCTAACTGTATTTTTGGTCAAAAATGAGTTATTATCATTTTCATGACATTCAAGGCATCCTTTGTTATGTGACAAAACATCTTATCTCAAATGTGTGTCGTTTTGGAGAAAAATGGTAGTCGTTTGTACAGTAACTGCAAAAAGCCCTAGTGAAACAAAGCAAGAGTACAGTAACATCCATTACTGTATTCTTGCTATGTTTTACCTAACAAAAAATAACTGTGTTGCTGCGCAGTGTAGTTACTGTTGCCATGGTGAACACACAGCTGATTTCGCGGCATCCTCACGGGACGGTTTTAACATTTGCGATTTCACGCTTCTAAGTTATTCACACAAATTTAGTTTGAGATGCAGTGTTTCCCCTAATTGTTCCCCTACCAAACTAACACACACACACACACACACACACACACACACACACACACACACACACACACACACACACACACACACACACACACACACACACACACACACACACACACACACACACACAACACACACACACATACGCGCGCGCTGAAGCACGTGTGTGACGCTCGAGCTGTTTTTTTGCCTAAATGAGGACACGGTCTTCACGACAACCCGTCAAAATAAAAGTTCGGTTTAACTTGACAAGAAATATATTACTGCTGTACAGTAGAATTTAGAAACGTCTCAATGTAATAATAATACCAACACTACAAATAAATTAAGATTAAAACTTAATTTTTAAAGGAATAATCACAATTTTTCTTCAATGTTTTAATTTTAACAGTAAAGCTCATTGTGCAGCATGTTGTTTGACCCAAAATGTTTGTTTTTAAAATATTGTATAAGTTTAATAATAGTTTATAATAAAAGTTTCATGATTTCAATTAATTAGACATGATTTTTGATTACTAAAAATTTACACCACATATCCGTAACATGCCCGCTCCGCAACACTAGTTTCGCAACACAAAAATTTTGAAAATGTTGTCCAAATGGTTCCAATTATTTCAAACACAGTGTATTGACTCAGAGCCCAGGTTGTGGCAAAATAGTTTTTGGAGAATCTGTAGTTACTGCCTTTTCCCTTGGTATGGTGCCACGTTTTTGGTAAGTAATACAAAGCAAGAATACAGTAACTGCAAAATAGGGGTAAAATATCAAATTAAATATGAGGATTGATATGTACAAAGAATAAGCTAATATAAACAAAACAGCCACATGTCCAATAATCTACCTACAACTACTTAGGCTGGATGACAGGATAACTTTAAAGTCATTTTTCTCTGTTCTGCACTCTGCGTAGTTACTGCCTTTTTGCTTTGTAGGGCAGTATGGTGTATCACTTTCTGCGAGTAAGTTGTACACAAATTGTAGCACTTTACAATAAGGTTCCATTAGTTAACATGAACTTACAATCAAAAGTTGTATCTGTATATTATTTAATGGACCTGAGCTAATATGATCTAACAATGAACAGTTGTAATTTTAATAGCAAACATTAATACTATTGTGCATTGTTAGCTAATATTAGTTAATGCATTTATTTGCATTTACTAAAGGGACCCTCTTGTAAAGTGTTACCCACGAAATGTATGATCAGTTGTGAAACTTTGTGTCCCACAATCCAATATTCTTCACACTAAAAATGAAAGGTCAAGTCAACCATAATGCATTGTGGGATACAATGTTTCATAACTGATCATCTGAGTATTTCATGCAAACAGAGCATTCGGTGCACAGTAGGGTATGGTATTCCAACCTGAATGAATCTACGGCTGAAAAGACGGCCTTTTTGGAAAGTTTGTTAAAATTAAAATTACAAGCACTTGACAGTTTCGGTTTCCTGAGCCTAACACTCATAGTTAATTGTGAAACGTTGAAGCTCTTTATAGAGGGGCCCTGTAAAGGTCACTGATGTGGTTCATGGTCTAATAAAGCACAGCTATTATGGTCACATTTACTTCAGCTGTCAAACCGTGGATTTCTTTTTTTTTCTGGTTGTTAACAGACTTTTTATTTGAAGAAATAGTAGTGCCCTTGTCTGACTGTTCTGATGGTTCCTCTGGAACAGGAAAGCAGTTTCTGGAGAATGTGTGTCGCCACACGCGAGGAGGGTCTACAAGTGGGTGATAACAAACTTCAGTCCAACGACAATGGTGCTACTGTTGTCCAGGATTTACACAGGTAATAATCAGCTCATTTCAACAGTTTTATGTTGCTCAAACACAGGCCTCAACAATAAGGATCTTTCTGCTGGTCAAAATGGGCCAGTATTTCAGAGTTTCACTGACCCTGAGGCAAAAATGACACATTTAGCAATTTTTAGTAACATGTTGTTAAGATTTAAATTCAGATGCAATACTAATTATATAATAATTCAATAATAATTATTTCAGATGCAATAATAAAGATTTTATTTATTAAATTGTATATTAGGACTTATTTACAAGCAATATTTACAACCGATATAATTACATTAAAAGTTCAATTTAAGGGTTCATCATTAATGAAACGCCATGAAGCATGCATACATTTATAAATAAAGTGTAAAATTAAATAAACATAATTCATTAAATAATGTTTATTATTAAAATTGTTATAAAATAATAAGGATTTATTATTGGATAATAATTATATAATTTTATTATTTTATAATTATAATAATATTTTTTATAATAAAAATATACAAAAAAGGGTCCCAGTCCATGTGTCAATCTTACTGTCAAGCTCTCTAGCAAATAATAATAATAATAATAATAATTATTATTATTAAAATACAGGAAATACTCTGCTTTAACCGAGGAGTTTAAATGTGCCAAGGTCAGACTAGAAATGACCTTAGTAGAGTCACGCGACAAATGTGTAAGGGAGGCAGCACCTGTGTTAAAAACTGGTTGAAAGTGGTCAGCAAAGGAAGCTGTAGTAGAGGCAAAGGCTGCCCTTCAAATTGGGGATATCGTGGGACAGGTACAGCATGGAAGAGGGGGTTTTGAGCTCAGTTTAGCTCCTCCTAAATGGCACAAGGCAGGCCCAGCTCAAAGGAGGAAGCAGTCAACGAGGTGCGAAAGCAGGAGGAGAGGATGAGGTGTATAAAGGCCATTTCCCAGGCCAAGCAGGGAGAGTGGATGAGATGGGAGAGTGTGGAACAACGCAAGATGGGCTGGCAAGACCTTTGGTCAATGGAAGAGAGTAGGATCAGTTTCCTTATTAGGTCAACATATGATGTTCTCCCATCACTGCAGAACCTAAACCTCTGGGTAGGAGAGGATCCCTCTTGTCCTTTGTGTTCATCACCTGCCACATTAAGGCACATTTTGACAGGATGTAAGGTGGCTCTTAGCCAAGGTCGGTTTACTTGGCGCCATGACCAAGTACTGCGATGTTTGGCTTTAGCATTAGAAGGCAAGCGTAGTATGACCAATAAGTTGCCACCTGTTCTAGCAAAACATTACACGCAGAAGACAATATTCCTCCGCCCAGGCGAGCAACCACCAAGAAAAGGTGTTAACACCAATTCTCGCCCAGGACAACTGGAAGCTGCTAGGGACTGGAAGATGCTAGCTGATCTTGATCAACGGGCTTATTTTTCCACCTGAGATTGCCACCACTAACCTACGACCAGATATTGTTTTGTGGTCTGGATCAGCACGCATTGTTCAACTGATAGAGTTAACAGTGCCATGGGAGGATGCTGTAGATGAGGCATATGAGAGGAAGAAACTGCGGTATGCTCATCTGGCCACTGAAGCAGAACAGCGAGGATGGAGAGTCCAGGTTTATCCATTGGAAGTGGGTTGTCGAGGTTTTGTGGCACACTCTACAACCCGGTTCCTCAGAGACATCGGATTCAGCGGCCAAGAGTTGCGTCGCACAGTAAAGAACTTATCTGAAGCAGCAGAAAGGAGCAGCAACTGGCTGTGGTTGAGACGGAAAGATTCTAGCTGGCTGTGTACAGGCCGCCACGCTACGGTTTCGTAGAATTCTTGAAAAACTTGAGTCTGTTGGTTTATTTGTATAGGTTGTATTTACAGTCATTACGTTCGGTATGCCATACGGAACCGTTGCCACTGAAACTGCATGTTAACGCACCAGTGGGGCTCGACAGCCTTAGTCAAACGGGTTGGCGCGTATGGTTGGGTTGCGGAGAGATTGTGAGATTGTGGTTAGGTCTCAGCAGCAGGAGGGATGTAGAGGTCAGTAAGCTGGGCTGAGTTGAGTGGGGGACGGAGGGGGGTGACTCTGGGACGCCAGAGTCACTGTCGAGCCCTCTTGAGGTGTCGTGGGCTAGTCGACGAAACACTGAGGACGGAAGGTGCTCACTTGAAGACCCTAGAGATGTCCCCTACTCGGCTCAATCCAGACGGTTGCCGTGCTGGTCCACTGGGGAGACCACACTGTAGTTGCACCCGTCGCGTGTGCTGACGGGCCAAGTACACTGCAAGTACATAGTTTACTGTAAAACTACGTCTTAGTGTTGCTTATCTTGGCGAAAGCCGAGTACAAATCAGCATGAAGTTTTAACATCTACTCTCGTGTAATGGAAATCAATAATCTTAAAGTATTGAAATTACTTAATGAAACTATTAAATAACATAAGCATAATTCATTAAAATAATATGTATTATTAAAATTGTAATTTAAATGTCATTTATTCAATAAAACAATAATAATTATTACTATTTTATTAAATTAATTAAATTATTAAATGGAATCATTAAATCAATTAAGCATAATTCATTAGAATAATGTTTATTATTAAAATTGTATTTAAAATTAAGTTTTAAAAAAAATGAATAATAATAATAATTAGTAGTATTGTAAAAATATAAAAAAACTAGCCCCAATCCATGTGTAATTACCTCTAACAAATAATAAACATCATCATTATTAATAGTATATTCAAAAACAGTCCATCAGTCCATCCTTATTGCTGGGCCCTCTAATCTATTGGCATATTCCCATGAAAATACATACATGTAAACATACACCACACACACACACACACACACACACACGCAACTCTATGCATATTACAGTGTAAATGCAAGTGCCCTAATGCACATATTTTCTTGTTTGTTGTCACTAGGGACACTTATGTCTACTTTGGAGACAGGCTTGCCCCATTTAACGGACAGGTTATAAACGATCAAAGAAAACAGGAGCCTGATCCAGAGAGAAAGCCTGTGCTGAAGACTGTGTGTAGAACCACCAGTACTGAAGTAAGATGTTATTGTCCATTAGAAACATCAAAACATTCCTCTGATCTGATTAGAGGCCAGTTCTGTGGGTTGGGATAGATGAATGTCTATTCTAAGCTTTCTGAAAATGTCAGACGACCAGCCGAGATCCCAAATAACTCCACTCCTACAAACTCTGCTATGCTTCTGACAGCGGGCGGACATTGCTATGCAAAAATCAGGAGCTTATTCCTCTGAACAAAACATCTATTGTTCTTGTTTGATTTTTCAAGCCAACAAAATGAGCATGCTGTTTTGTTGAGAATGGTTTCAATTTGCCACATTAAATACTTAAACTAATCGGTGAACTTCAAAAAATCGGAAACCGTCTGCCTTGGAAAAACGAAGGAACTCTTTTGAATTAAGAACTCTTTTGAATTCTTTTTTTTTTTTGCTTTTTAGATTTAGGTTATGCTTACTCAAAACAAGATAAACATCACAAAAAGAAAATATCATGAATGTCAACTATTTTTATGGCATTTTCAGTAATTGATGTGAATGTGAATGCGAAACTCGCCGCCATGATGCTGATGTGTTGTGGGTGGTTGAAAAATCGTTTGTTTGATATCTTGACCACTGCATTTCCAAAAGCTATTGATTTGAGGTATAATTTAAATCTGTAGCACAACTGTTGTGAGATAAGTTACAACCAAAGTTTAATAGGGATAGGAGTTTGTACAAATCACTGAGGTTATCAAAAGTCCACTTTAGACATTCTAGTACTACGTGTCAACTAACTCTCATGTGTTAGGGGTAGTATAAATAAGTTGAAATGTACTTACAAAGTTACTTATAGTCAGTGGAATGTCTGTTGGGGAGCATCGAAATAAAGTGATATTAAGATAGACAGTCTACTAATACACTAGTAATATATGAGAGTTAGTTGACATACTTCTTGTTACTTCTCTAGTTAGTAGAATGACAATGTTCTACTAACTAGAAAGTTACTAAATAGAAACTACAAAGTTACTTTGAGTTAGTAGAATGTCTAAAGTGGACCATTGAAATAAAGTGTTACCAGCACATACCCTAAGCATAAGTAGTAGTAATAGTGATGCTTAACTTAGCAAACACCACATAACCAGCTCAGCATTGGTTCTTCTACCTCTCTGTGAGCAGATCTGAAATGCACAGGTGAAATGGGATTAAATAGACCTTAACCAACAGAATCCATTCAAGACACTGAGCAGATCCCAGATGCAGCAGAAACTAATTTGATTCAGGACGGGAAAAGAGACACAGAATCTTACAGGGCTTTCGGTATGACCCATTCAGATTTGGAGGAGAATTGTTCCATGTTTTTCTGTTGTTTGTACTACAGGGTTTCTCTCCATGTGAAAGCAGAGCTCTGTTCACTAATGTCAATGAATCAGACCAGCTTGGCTACAGTTTCGGAGAAAAGGAGGCGATGGGAAACAACAATAACTTGAAGGTGGGAAGCAAACCCTGTTTTTCCCTTCAGTTGGAAAATCCTCAAATTTGGAGTGTTTTGTGATGCGTCTTCAGCTACATTAGGGTTATATATGTTGTGTTTTGTGTGGCATGACTAAAATGGATATATTATGGATGCCAGTTTCTGCCTTACAGTGAAAAAATACATTTATTCCTTATTAAAAAATAATAACTATAAGAAATAGTCATATTGTAATATTTAATGTCATAAGAAATACAGTTGCAGTTGTGATACATACTCGCAATTTTGATATCAACTAGCAAAGTCGCATTTATGAGGAATAAAGTCGCATTTATGAGAAATAAATATGCAATTGTGAGATATAAAGACATAAAAAATTAATAAAGTCACAATTACTTATATATAGTTACACTACCGTTCAAAAATTTGGGGCCAGTATGTTTTATTTTTTCTTTCTTTCTTTTTTGTTGTTGTTGAAATAAATACATACTTTGGTAACACTTTACAATAAGGTTGCACTAACTAACATTAACTAGCAACGAGCAATACATTTGTTACAGTATTTGTTCATCTTTCTAAAGTATGGTTTATAAAAATACAACTGTTCATTGTTAGTTCATGTTATCTCAGATCCATTAAATAATGTTAAAAGAAACAACTTTTGATTTTTTACAAGTGTACTAGTATATGTGAAAATTAACATTAGCTATAATTAATAAATGCTTTAGAAGTGTTTTTCATTGTTAGTTCATGTAAACTAATGTAGTTAGCTAAGGTTAACAAATGAAAACTTATTGTAAAGTGTAATGTGAATGATTTCTGAAGGGTCATGTGACACTGAAGACTGATGATGAAAATTCAGCTTTGCATCACAGGAGTAAATTTTATTTTAAAAGATATTAACATAGAAAACAGTCATTTTAAATTGTAATAATATTCCACAATATTTTTTTTTTTTTTTTTTTTTTTTTTTTTTTTTTTTTTTTTTTTACGGTATCTCTGATCAAATAAATCCAACCTCGGTGAGCATAAGAAGCTTTAAAATGTCAAAACATTAAAATGTCTTACTGGCCCAAAACTTTTTAACGGTGATGTAAACCAGCCCACGTCACCAGCCCTGTTTTGAAGTGATTTGTAGAATACTACATTTTTCTACCACTATGTGCATGTATGCAGATGCCAATTATTAAGGTGTCAGACGATGACAGCAAGAACTGTGATGATGAGGATCAGAGCTGCCAAGAGACGTCCTGCAAAAGATCTCGCTCCAACTCCACCAGTGAGACAAACCTGCATGAACACAAGATATTTCACTCAATGCAAGAGTCATAACACTGGTCCGTATTTATTTTTATAGTATAATTTGATCGTGCTAATCCCATTTTGGACCTCTGACTACACACATGCAACACTGCACTGCAGAAGAACGGCCCTTTTTCATTATATAACCTAATAAACTCTTGAGAACATCCAACAGAAGATGCTTTGAGCTCCTGAAAGTAAATATATGATGTACTCTTGCTTCCCAACAGTACACTGATCCATGCACATGCTTTTTACGTTGTCTAACTGTGTCCATTATCCAACACCGAGAGGACGTCTTATGTAACTTCACGTGTCCACGTGCTTTTAGGCGTTCACCCGTACTGGATCGGAGACTTGGATACCATCATTATGAAGACGCCAGAGCTGTTCCCGTGTCACGCCCACGCCACCACAGGATTTTACGGCAACAGGAAGTCTCTCTCTCAACAGCTGGAATTTCCTCATAGCATTCCACAGGTGAGGGAGGTTGACCGGATCATGCAATCGGATTAAAGGCCAGTTTACACTAAGGAAAATAACATAAAAAGTCATAATGTTATGAGTTATGACATAAAAAGTCATAATTGTGACATTCACAGACAAGGCTTAAATCTAGTCCCAGACTGAAATGCATGTTTGAGCTGTTTTAACTGAAAGCAACTTGCACTGATATACCTTAAAATATGTCAGTGGCATTGTTTTGTCTCAAGATGCACACCAGTAATGTTTTTTTTTTTTTCAGGCATGTTTATAAAAGCTACTTAAATGTCCTAATTTAACTAAGGCCTAATCCTGTTTTAATCTAAGCCCTGTCTGTGAAACCAGGCCTGCAAGCCATAATTTTTATTTCTCATTATGACAGTATGCCATAAATTACTTAGTATGTAATAATTTTGACTTTTCATCTGATAAATATGACTTAGCGTGTAATAATTGTGATTTTAATTTTAATTTAAGTTTTAGACATTTTGTTATCTGCTTTTGTTATATATATATATATATATATATATATATATATATATATATATATATATATTAGGGCTGTCAAATGATTAATCACGATTAATCACATCCAAAATAAAAGTTTTTTTTACATAATATATGTGGGTGCACTGTGTATAATTATTTTGTATATATATAAATACACACACATGCATGTATATTTAAGAATTCTTTTTAATTTATATGTAAAATATTTATATTTATATATAATATAAATTATATATAAATCTATATACAGTATATACATGAAAATATTTCTTAAATATATACAAGCATGTGTGTATTTATATATATAAAATAATTATACACAGTGCACCCACATATATTATGTAAAAAAAACTTTTATTTTGGATGTGATTAATCACGATTAATCATTTGACAGCCCTAATATATATATATATATATATACAACACAGTTAAAAAAGTATATATATGTTATTATTATTATTATCAATTGATAATATATTAGATAATATTGAACCTAAAAAACTTAAATGAAAATTATAAATATTGAAGTTTTAAAATTATTCAAATAAAACCTAATATAAATATATTAGGTTTTGTTTGAATAATTTTAAAACTTCAACATTTGTCATTTTTAAAACATTTTACAACATTTTACAACATTTAAAATATTATATCATGGCATAAGTAATTTTATATCATGGTAACGCTATACACTACAAAATGTACTTATTTTTGCTGTAAATATAATCAAATAAATATAGTAATAAAATAAATATAAAATGTACAAATATATATTTTTTTATAAATAAATGATACATTTGTATTATAATACATTTTTATTATAAAATTAAAAGTTTAAATATAAAATGTCAATTAAAATGTAAAAATGTTTTTAAACTGTGTAACTGATATAACAGATACAGCAAAATCTCAACATTTCTACAACTGCACCGAATACATTGAATAATGCTAATCATTTAATGTTTTTGTTAAGTTAACAAGCTCAACATTTTTTTGCTGATCCATATTTGCCCAGCATAAGTCCTCTTCTTGCAGGCTGATTCTGGGTGTAAAGTTGTGGAGAATGCAGACATTTGCAATCTGGTGACTGAAGGAATGAAAAAATTACAATGAATTTAAATATGGCAAAGTGCCTGGTTATACTGGATTGCGGATGGTTAGTGAATAACGTGTTTACACTGGGGAAAAAAAAAACACTTACAAAAGTAGTGCAGCTGCTGACTTTTAAGTTCAGGAATTGTTTTGCCTGAACAGTTCTGAATGAGACTATAGCAGTGAATGGTCAATTTCCTTTCAGCTGTTGCACTTTATTTGATAAGGCCATCATTATACTGGTAATCAAATAAATGGCTGTTGCAGTAAGTGCTCAAAGCATCTCTACAAAGTGCTTTCCCTCTCCACATCAGCAAAGTGGCTTTTTTAATGAACGTCATGGGAATGCCACATGTAACACAAATACAGTATGAAAACATCTGCTCTGTGAAGTAGAATTTCATGAAATGAAAACATCTCATATTGTCCTTTTTGGCCCTGAACGTAGACCTTTGACATGCTTACCACATTATTAGTGTTCTCCTCGTTCTCTGCAGGCTGTGGTTAGACCATCTCGCTCTCTAAGTTCAGCACACTTGGTCCCCTCCTGCAGTAGCGTACAGGCGTTCATCATCTCCAACATCGTGCTCATGAAGGGCCATGGCAAGGTAACCAAACACAAGTCAGATATGCAAGAAATAATATGATGCATTCTCACCATATAAACCGCTCTCGTGGCATTCCAGGGCCTGGGATTCAGTATAGTAGGAGGCAGAGACAGCATGTACGGCCCAATGGGGATTTACGTGAAGACCATCTTCCCTGGAGGTGCAGCGGCCGCTGATGGAAGACTACAGGAAGGTGGACTCATTAGTTAAATATCATACTGTAATTGGTAATCTATCCAGACACTTACCTCAAAATGTAGCTTTCCCATCAACACTCACAGCTGCATTACCCAGAAGTGGATAGAAAACTATATTAGTGTTTCTGGATTACAGGAGACGAGATACTGGAATTGAATGGCGAATCTCTGCACGGCTTGACACATGAAGATGCCTTACACAAGTTTAAAGTGAGTAGCCTCACCTGGATGCCTTCATTTGTTATTTGACTGATGTGGTTGATGACTGATTTAATAGTAACTTTAATAGAAAATGAATGTAAAATGCCATAGTAAAAACTGTAATTGGTTAAGTGAAATACTATATATACACTCACCGGCCACTTTATTAGGTACACCTGTCCAACTGCTCGTTAACACTTAATTTCTAAGCAGCCAATCACATGGCGGCAACTCAGTGCATTTAGGCATGTAGACATGGTCAAGACAATCTCCTGCAGTTCAAACCGAGCATCAGTATGGGGAAGAAAGGTGATTTGAGTGACTTTGAACGTGGCATGATTGTTGGTGCCAGAAGGGCTGGTCTGAGTATTTCAGAAACTGCTAATCTACTGGGATTTTCACGCACAACCATCTCTAGGGTTTACAGAGAATGGTCCGAAAAAGAAAAAACATCCAGTGAGCGGCAGTTCTGTGGGCGGAAATGCCTTGTTGATGCCAGAGGTCAGAGGAGAATGGCCAGACTGGTTCGAGCTGATAGAAGGGCAACAGTGACTGAAATAACCACTCGTTACAACCGAGGTATGCAGCAAAGCATTTGTGAAGCCACAACACGCACAACCTTGAGGCGGATGGGCTACAACAGCAGAAGACTCCACCGGGTACCACTCATCTCCACTACAAATAGGAAAAAAAGGCTACAATTTGCAAGAGCTCACCAAAATTGAACAGTTGAAGACGGGAAAAATGTTGCCTGGTCTGATGAGTCTCGATTTCTGTTGAGACATTCAGATGTTAGAGTCAGAATTTGGCGTAAACAGAATGAGAACATGGAACCATCATGCCTTGTTACCACTGTGCAGGCTGGTGGTGGTGGTGTAATGGTGTGGGGGATGTTTTCCTGGCACACTTTAGGCCCCTTAGTGCCAATTGGGCATCGTTTAAATGCCACGGCCTACCTGAGCATTGTTTCTGACCATGTCCATCCCTTTATGGCCACCATGTACCCATCCTCTGATGGCTACTTCCACCATGTCACAAAGCTCTAATCATTTCAAATTGGTTTCTTGAACATGACAATGAGTTCACTGTACTAAAATGGCCTCCACAGTCACCAGATCTCAACCCAATAGAGCATCTTTGGGATGTGGTGGAACGGGAGATTCGCATCATGGATGTGCAGCCGACAAATCTGCGGCAACTGTGTGATGCCATCATGTCAATATGGACCAAACTCCCTGAGGAATGCTTCCAGCACCTTGTTGAATCTATGCCACGAAGAATTGAGGCAGTTCTGAAGGCATAAGGGGGTCCAACCCGTTACTAGCATGGGGTACCTAATAAAGTGGCCGGTGAGTGTATATATACATACAAACATAAGTACACACTCATATATATATATATATATATATGTTTTCATGAGTACAAAGAAAACATATCCAGTAACCAAAATCCAATCATTATAAAAGCAACCAGCTTATATTTCTTTCTATAAATTTAACATAAAAAGTAGTGTACTCTTTGTCCTTTAACATAATATTATATTTAACCTCATCATAGAACAACATAACATATGTGTAATATAATACTGATATGAATATAATATATGTAATACTTAGGAAATTAATACATAAAAATTGCTAAAATGAAATAGATTTATTTTATTCAATATTTACTCAAAAAGTCTATAAAGGTCCAACTATTACCTGATTAATCCACCTAGACAATATGTCGATCTATCAATAATCCATCATGTTTCACCAGCAATAAACTTCTTTTCTCTTTTTTGAAGCAAGTGAAGAAGGGTTTGTTAACGCTGGTGGTGAGGACCAGTCTGCGGGTGGGCTCCATGCTGGGCAGCAACGGACAGGTGTCTCAGTTATGCAGATCCAGATCGCTGAGCTCCAGCACCGGTATAAGTCGAGTCAGTGCTGATTTGGGAGACTATAACTGCCTTAATAACTCTGCAAAACCCCAGGACAGAGTCATGATGGGGATCACGTTGCAGAAGGGTTAGTATCCAAATCTCATTGTTCAAAGTTATATTCATCATATAGGCTACACACTGGTACAATTGCAGTGAATTGTTTTGTTTATCAGCACAAGCTATGAAATATAAAATTAGCTGTTATTAGTTTTTCATTCAAAACTACTGTATGACTTCAGGAGAGTTATACATAATGCACACGTTTTTCTGATATCTTTTTAAGCTTGGGTTCAGTCCCTATTTGTAATTGCACAACAATGCTCGTGAATTCTTCAGCATTGCTTGTCTTGCATTTCACAGAAGAAAGAAAAAACACAGATTCGAATGACATTAGTCTTTCAAAGTGAGTGAATGTTGACAGAAATGCCATTTTTGAGCTAGTGGACTGCATTTCTACTTTACACATATCTGACTGGGTTACAAACTGCATTGCAATCATTGCTTAGACTGAGTTAATGCACTATTCTGAGCTCCGGCCAGCTGTTGCTGAAGTTTCATGTCACACATCAATCAAACGCTTTCATTCTGAGCCCTGTACATAAATGTCTCCAGAGCTAAAGTGTGCCTCATTTGTGTAGCTGCATAACATCATCAATTAAAATCCTTGAGATACTAATGTTAGGGAATTTACAGTTAAAGATGATTAATTAAGACTAGGAGTTAGAAGTGCAGTCAATTTAAGACAAGAGTTAGAATTATAATACATTAAAGAATTAATTTTTTTACTGAAGATAGTTTGCAGTTTCATCAGGCAGAAGTCAGCTTCAAGACCTTCTACATTTACAAAGATCACAGCAGTTAAACCCTTCACCAAGGTCTAAGCTACGTCATTACTTTAGGTTGAATGATTCTGATTGGCTAAGAAATAGATAAACATAGTAAATTTCCACACATGGACTGATAGGCACATCTCCATAGTCTGTACGGCTGCCACCAGGACCCTGAGTTAGGGACCCTGTGTCCCTCCGAGGTCACGAGACTGTGTGCCTAGGCGCCAACATGTCGAAGAAAACAAGTCAGTCTATCTCCAATAATGCCACTTGTTCCTTAACCTGAAACCAAGAATACTAACACACACAGAGCTTCTTCAAGGTTGGTTTTGGTCGGGCTCTAACTATAAACAGAAGACTCTTCCCAAAACATCCAGATAACATGTTCTTTCTCTCAGTGAGAGGACTTTAATATAGAACAGTAAAGTAAATGCTTTAACTAAGAAATGGTCACTTAAACTATTGGTTCCAATGACCCTTGTGACCTATAGTGGTCATGGTGAGCTAGAAGAACAGAAATGTTTTAACACGTTGAAGACCTTTCTCAAACTAAACGAGTCGGCAACACTTTACAATAAGGTTCATTAGTTAACATTAGTTAACTACCTTAGTTAACATGAACTGAGAATGAACACTACTTCTTCAGCATTTATTAATATTGGTTAATAATATTAATTTCAACATTTACTAATACGTCATTAAAATCAAATGTTTTATTTGTTAACATTAGTTAATGCTCTGTGGACTAACATGAACAAACAAGGAACTGGTGTATTTTTATTAACTAACATTAACAAAGATTAATAAATACTGTAACAAATATATTGCTCATTGTTAGTTCATGTTAGTTGATACTAGGGATGCACGATATAGGATTTTGGCCGATATTCGATATGCCGATATTTTCAAACTAATTTTGCCCGATGCCGATACCGATACCGATATATTTGTATTTTTTTTAAGTGCAAAAAAAGCTTATTAAAGCTTCTATTAATGTTCTCAGTCAAGAGCAGTGAGTGATTTCCTCTGTTTTGTTGTTTTATTAACATTAACGGGATAGTTCTCCCAAAAATTTAAATTGTCATCATTTACTCTCTCAAGTTTCTTTCTTCTGTTGAAATTATAAAAGTTATTTGGAAGAATGTGGCTAACCAAACAGTTGCTGTACTCCAGTGACTTCTATAGTATATTTAAGCACAAGAAAGAAATGAATCCAGGTTTGAAACAACATTAGATAGACAGAATTTTTATTTCTGGGTGCAGTATCTCTTTAAAGACAAGCGGCAGAATATTATTACTGTCTCTTTAAGAACTGCACGCGAGTAACGCGACGCGTCTAATATACACGCATTTGACAAGCAGATTTTCTCTGTTTGCTTTCACTTTAGACATAACCAACTTTGTTTATGTAAACCTTGTGTGTATTTGACAGTATCAGCGCAATAAGACTCGAAAGATTAGTCCAGTATGCAGGCGCTGTGACAGGCTTTTAGTTCCTGTGAGCGTCGCGTGTACGCGCTCAGAAAAGCGGATGTTAGAACAGCGCATCAGCACGTGAATGACATGTTTACCTAGCAAGACTTTAACGCACATGCAAACAATGAACTTTTGTGAATTGCGGTGTCCCGTGAGTGTAACTCTACCTCTGCGTTTACATGTGATGTGATGTGATGTGATGTGAATGTACGTCGCGTTGTACAGTATGTTGAGATGAAGGCGCCAGAATTGAACTGATAGAATGCACGATACTATGATTTTTCTTCAAAAGCAGATAGTGGAGACATTTTAATCGCCCACGATCAAAAACCGTGAGACGCACACCCCTAGTTGGAAGTTTAAGTTGCTGGCGCTCATGCTTCGTTCACGGTCGTCACGTGCGCATAGGAAACACGCCACCCTATCGGCAAGACTCATCGGCAGAAATATTCATATCGGCCGATGCCGATGATGGTCATTTTAAGCTTTTATCGGCCGATACCGATGTTGTCCCGATATCATCGTGCATCCCTAGTTGATACATTAACTAATGTTAACTATTTTTAAAGTGATACCAACGAGTCCATATTTAATCTCCGGAAGCCGGGCTAAATAAGCAAGCACTGAATGCATTCCTGGCAGGGGCAAGACCCTCAGTCACTTTACTTAAATGTTGTCTTAAAGGGATAGTTCAGGCAATAATGAAAGTTTTGCCATCATGTTGTTTTAAACCTATTTGATTTTCTCTCCTATGATAGAAAAAAAGTGAGATGTTTTTTAAATATCGCACATGCTCCTTAAATTACACTGTCAAAAAAAAAATTGCCCCTTGTATTATGAGTCTTCTGAAACTGTGCAATTGCTTAAAGTCGGCATTAAACTAAAGTTGTAATAGTCTTTTCTTCTTTATTGTGATATTTATCTGAGCGAAAAGGATTCTTGAACAAGCTAAATGTAGGGCGGGACTTGATTTTGTCCACCAGGATTTGATTGAAGGGTTGTGGTTTGCTATTGGTCAATCTCATGTGAGTGACAGGTTGTCCCACCCTTGTGCTGGTAAACGTGTCAGAGAAGAGATGTTGCTGCAAGAGGGAGGGGAAATAATTTTTATTAAAGATTATGAGGACACATGAATTTGAAAAAAAAAATGAAGATGTGTATGGATTTATACTGCAATATTCCATAAAAAGCAGGAATTGTCCAGTGATTTCATGGTAACTAAAAAATAAACCTACTATATACATTAGCCACACTTTTATTGTTCCTGATTATGATGACTACAAAAGTCTGAGAAGAAAACGAGCGTGTGAGTATTTCTTAATGTGTATTTTCTGAATATGTCTAGAGATTGGCGTAGGTCTGGGCATTGGCTTGTGCTGTGTACCTTCAGCTAGCGGCTACCCGGGAATCTTCATTCACACGCTGTCGCCAGGATCAGTGGCACACATGGATGGACGATTAAGGTTTGAACCTGTCATTTTGCCAATAACATAAAATATATTATTATGAGACATGAGACTCCAATGTTTTCTGTTATATATTTCTTCATAGTTAATTAGAAAATCTGAATATACTGTACATTTTCAGCCTATCTAAAATTACATTTTAATCATTTGAATAATCTCATTTCACTTCAGTTAAATGTTGGGCAGATGTATAGCAAATTGCAAATCCCATCAATTTCAAAGTGAACTATCCCTTTAATTACCACTAAATTAAGGAAAGCTCTGTGCAATTAGTTTAGAAATGTACAACAGGACTAAAACAAGTTTAAACAAGTCATATTTTCTAGAATCAGTTGGAAGAGAATGTAATCCCATAAAGCTTGCTGGGAAATACAGATCCATTGCCCAGTTGGTTATGTCACCAAAAACAATACATTTATAGTCTAAATACAAAGTGATTAAGTTCACTTAAATTTTGCTAATTTTATGGGATTGGACAGAATGAAATTAAGTTGTGACAAATTGTTCAAGAACTATGTCGCATTAGAGCATTTTAGCAAAGTAATTTGAACAAGCAGCAAAAAAACAAAAACAATAATGTATGTATATAGTAAAAATATGTTAATTTGATGTTTTGAGGCTACGTAAAGGCATGTTTCCTCAATATATTACTGTAAGATTAAGATGTATACTAAAAAAAGTTATTTTACTCAAAGTTGTGGTTGGGTGCTGATCATTTTTGGTAAACCAAATGATACACTGCATATCATGTTATAAATGGCAAGTATTTTATTTTCATAAGTGTGGTTTCTAGAACGTTTTTAAAACTAACCGAACTGCAGCGCTGTGAATTGTTGTAAGAATGTGTGTGGTTGCTGGGTTGTTACTAAGTAGTATGTGAACGTTTGTCAGATGTGGCGATGAGATCATGGAGATCAATGACACAGTGGTTTGCAACATGACACTGAACGATGTGTACACGGTTCTGAGTCAGTGCAGCCCGGGCCCGGTTCAGATCATCATCAGTCGACACCCTGACCCAAAAGTAGGTTTACTTTCTCTTCAGGAGTATAACATAAGAGAGCATCATGTGCCCGATTTACTCACATGTGTCAAGACAATTTACACTTCATTATGGCTGTGAGCAGTCAAACCTTCATATTATTGTTCATAAGTTAAAAGTTGTCTGAGTGTGTGCTAAAATTTAAAGGCTATAAATTGCACGTGTTTCTCTGTGTGCATGAAGGTTTCTGAGCAGCAGCTCAATGATGCAATCGCTCAGGCGGTGGAGCACAGCAGACTGAGGAGAGACAGGAGTCAGTGGAGTATGGATGGATGTAACAGCAGTGAGTTATTGATCTTTTGTTTGCTCTGAAGGCCTATTTCACACAGTGATTTTACGGCACAATTGCAACTGTAACTGTACAGAACGTAAACTTATTTCGAGGTTACCACATTAACAACTTCCTTTATTAATGGCATTAAAAGTGTTATTGTGAGTGGCCATCAATCTAATGGATGAGCATGAAATCTAATTAATATTAGGAGGATCACAACCACAACCAAATGATGCAGTAACTAAGCCATTTCTGAGAAACACTGTTGAACACTTGTAGCCAATCAGCATTAGGGGGCGTGTCCACTCATGATGGGGGAGGAGAGAGAGTAAGCAAGAGGGAGATTTGAAGAATCTCTGTAGAAAGAGAAATGGCTGAGAGACATTACAAAAGAGAAAAGATCAGAGGAATATCACTGGAAAAAGAAGGGTAATGATCAGGCAAGAGCTTTTAATATTAGAAAAGATTTCCAGCACTAGAGAGAGCTAAGCGGGAAGGTCTGAAAACGGACGCCGAGATTGCATTGTTTCTTCTCCATACGTGAGTAACATTGTTTTTTTGCTATGTTTCACAGAACCACGATATGCGGTTGTTGTAATGCTAGCAATAGTAACAGGGCAGTTTTGAGTGTCATTGTTTGTCTGGAGCTGGTGTGCTGCTGGCGACTAACAACCAAATATTGCTTGTATTTACTCTTGTGTACTTTATGGTAATTGTTTGTTCTTCCATGTCGTTCATTCATCATCTTTGCTTTTTTTTTTTTGCGATGCATTATTTTGCTTCGCTTTTGCTTTGATGAGACATCCACTCGTGCATTGCGTGCTTGTGCATTTTGGGGGCGGAGCAATGATATTTTAAATGTCAACAGTGTTTCTCAGAAATCGTTTGGAGAAGACCACCTCATTCATTTACCTTTAAGAGGTGGTTGTGCCTGGATTCACTTTTTTTTGGAAAAAGAAATGCTGTTTGTGTACTCACATGTGTGAGTTGGAAACTATTTTAGTAAAGGTTTTTTTTTTGTAAAGTTATGCTTTACTTAGAAGTGGGAAGCAGAGACTCAGGACTTGAACTTAAAATCTTCAAATTGTTTCCAACATGACTTGCAGGGTTCCAGTGGTCATGGAAAACTTGAAAATGTCAAGAAAATTTTCACACAAAAAAAAAAATCATGAAAAAAAGTCAAACCTTAAAAAGGCATGGACATTTCTATAGTGAATAATTTACAATAAATATAAAATGTCAAATATAAATGCAAAATCTATATATACACATACACACACTAGGCCTTCGAAAGGTATAGTGATGATTCTCTGGGCCCCCGGTTGTCAAAGTCTCAGACGTGCACCCATGTCTGCTTTGTTTACACTGTACAAAATTAACTGTCCATTTTACAAAGAAGATAGGCAGTTGGTTTAGACATGTCTGTATCTGATCTCAGGTCTGAGGAGATTAGAACCCTGTTCGCACAGCAGACAGAAGTGTATCCGCTGTCTGGACAGGAGCGGTAGTCATCTGACCTGTAGACGAGCACAGAAACCCATGATCCGATCCTGCAGTGAGGGCGCCTACAGCCAGCGCTGTACACCAGCCAGCGCCACCACTCAATCCCTTCTACAACCGGAGCACGTCACCAGAGTACAGAGCATGGACGTCTCTTTAACAACCAACAGTGAAACTTCACTTAACAACACACTTTCTCCAGCCTCGTTCACTGATGATGACTATAACATTCCCTATAAATGTCCAGTAAATTTCATTGAACAACAAACATTAGATGTGCATACAGGTGGGGTGAGAAATTCTACGCCAGGACCAACAAACCAGACACGGAGGTACTGCAGACGACAGGAAGTCACCAGTCAGGAAGCGCTGACTGATTCGAGCGGCTCTAGTCGAGGTTCTCCAGTAAAAGAGGAAGATCTGCTGCCTTCTCAAAGCAATTGCCAGGTATGGCTATATACTGTACACGTTTATGAAATGCACTATATTCTATTGAGCAAAAACGTTTTTTGGTCAACTAAAATGTTTATTTCTTTGTTTTCTCTTCCTTGTGTAGGGTTTCACATCATTTAATATCATGTCAGTGATGTTATGTCCAATAAATGAATTGAATACAGGATTTAAATCTACGCTTTGGATTGTATTTGTACTGTTGCTTTTTTTGCTCTCTGTCAAAGAGACTATTCACAAGTAGGCGTTTTTCACAGTGAGATTGTTGCATTGCCCATAAATGGTAGTTGAGTATTGTAAGTCAAGACATGATTGGCTTGACTTCAACACTTGCCTTATTGTCAAATTCTTCACAAGTCTTGCATATGAAAATCTTGCACCATCATTGTGCATGTGAATAGCTGTAATGTTACGGCCCTCAAAGGGGAAAATACCATTACATTTTTTTCTTATAGTGTGCCTAGTCTCATCATGATCTGTGGAAAACAGAAATGTGTCAAAATTGACCAAAGCATTGGTAATATCTAATTGGATATTCTTTTCCCCACACCTGCCAATGGCCAGTGATTTAAGAAAGTGTACCGGTCATAAACTATTTTTACCGGCCATTAAACTGTTTTTGCAAAAACAGGCAGTAATGACACCAACATTTTAGATACCAGTGAAAATACACAATTCTCTATTCCAATATACCACAGCTGAAGGTACTAATTTAAAACATAGTTAAAGACAAGTAATCAGTCAGTAATAAAATAAGAACAAATAATCAAATTACAAGCAAAAGCACAATTAAATTCAAGATTACAAAGATACAAATGAAATAAACAGTGCTTTTCAGGTTGTTTAGGTAGGTCTGACAGAAGTTTTCAGGTACAGAAATTTGATAAAGGAAGCAAATGTAAAATAACTGCATAGTCTCCACTGTATAAATTAAATATCCTTATTAATTAATCCTTAATAAAGTTACAGACGTTATTCAGTCAAGAGCAGTAAGTTATTTTTTTCTTTGTCCTTTAATTGATTAACATTAAAAACACAGACAGCAGCAGGAATATTAGACTGCTGTCACTTTAAGACCAAATGCACGGATCTAATATACTAATAGTGAAACTTACTTTCTCAACTGTTTACGCTCACTTAAGACATAACCGACTATGTTTATCAGGACCGCAACAGGAATTAAATAAGACATTTTAAAACTCTTAAAGGTGCACCCGGTCAAAAGTGTTAGATTTTCCGATATCAATGCCAGTGTAGAAATGCATTATTTGATTAATTTAGTTTAATTTATTCTACAAACAAAAGTGTACCAAAACAGGGGTTTAGCCATATAAAAAAACAGTATTCAGCTGGTCAGACTACACTAAATATTTACACATCATCATTTGTCACACCAGAGGATCATTAAAATAAAATAGTCAAATGTTAATTAAAAGTGAGAAAGATTTTGACAAATGGGGACATCGCAGCATCTAAAACATGCACTTACAACAATTTTTATAAATATATGGCCTGTATATCAATATTTCCTTCACAAATAAATACATTTTACCTTAAATAGACCTATATATTTTACAGTGACTCAATATTTAAAGTCTTTTATTGCCTCACAGTCTTTTATTGTCTCTCCACATGCATCTAGTTTTTCTGCAGTCTATACAGGGCTTTGAGAAAGATCTCAAGGCTTCTGTTTAAAAATGTACGTAGAAAATCATGCTACCTCTTTGTGGACGTGTTCATGTCAGTGTTTGATGACAGTTTGAAAATGAATTTGTGTGCACTTCATACTAAAAGTTTATTCGCACAATAGTGCATCTTTTTGTTACAGGAATCGTAATGCTTGAGCGTTTTGCATGGGGCATGGCTCTTGTGTGTGTACTGTGTACATGCCTGTGTTTCTGTTTGCAACAGTGATGCATGACGAAATGATACTGAATGCATTTCTACACCTTTTCAAATTTTTTATAAGACTTAAACTCAGCCAGTCATTTCCTGTTTTTGTGACAGGAAGTGGTTGAACACGCAGAAGTCAGAACTAAAGCATCTGCCTGTATCTCCGAGCCTAAAAGTGACTCAACACACAGAGGGGACAGACAGCACAAAGGTATGTTAATCAGAAATACACCTTCTACTGGTTAATATTTAGTTAAAAAATAGCAATATGTCATGTAGGTTGCAAAACTTTCATATAGACAGTTACTTTGTATTATTCTGATATCTGATATTCAAGAAACGTATGCTAAGACTTTCCATTTCCTAATTCAGCTGTAATAGTAATGGTACATTTCACTGTCCTAATAACAATATTTTTATAAAACAAAGTAGCATGTTTTTTTTTTACATGTATGTTACAGCTGTTCTGTTTTTAAATTAAAATAGAACAATTATTGTGACAATTATTGGATGCGTGGCAGCACGTGAGTTAGTTCTCACTTTGAACTTCTCTGTTCTGCAGCTAAGTAAAGGGAAATACATGTGAAAACTATTATGTTACAGGTCCAGAGTCCCCATCTCAAGTGTGCAGTCCGAGTAAGCGGGTCGGTCTGAGACGTCAGGCTCGTTTGGAGCTCAGTACAGATCAACCACTTGACCCCTGGGTAAAGCTGACCGAAAGTCCAGAGAACCAGTCATTTTGCTCCAAAAACATGGGTGACCATAATGGAGATGCTGAAGTTAACAGCACTGCCTCTGAAACCACAAACATCACCTCAGACTCCAAATATGAACAACCTCCCAATGTTAAAAAAGGGCCCCCGGTGGCTCCAAAGTCTGCAAGAGTACGTCAAAGCATGAAGAGTATTAAATCTGGGAAACCGATAACAGAGGCTTTGAAGCACCCAGATAACAGCAGCCACGATACTGGCAGGACCTTTGGGATTAGTCGGAGGGCTGCTTCATCAGGAGGCAATTTGTCAATCAGGCAGAAGATCAGCTCGTTTGAGACTTTCTCAAGTGCCGATGGAGCCGAAAAGCCGAACAGGCGACTGGCCCCAACAGCATCTCTTCCTCCAATGGAGAAGACAGCTAAAAACTCATCTGCAGACTACAGCAATGCAGAGAGAACCAAAGCTAACACAAGAAACTTGCACAATAATGATAACTGCCAGTCGACACCAACAATTTCAGCCACCAACCAACCGCCAGAGGAAGAAGAGCAAACAGCTTCCCTCAGTTCAGATATCATTTCAGTGCCCCATCCTGCAGAGGAAGAAAAACAATCAACTTTTCATGATTCAGAGCCCTGTAAGCCAATCCCTATTGAGGAACCCGCTCTGGACTCAAAAGAGCTTCCACCTGCTGCTGAGAATGAGCAAGAACCCCTACCTTCTGAAGAGGATTCGCCCCCTTCAAGCCACGTACCAAGAAGATCAAGCAGCTCGAAAGAGGGTCTTGGAGAAAAACCAGAAGGTGCTGGAACTCATACGGTGAGCTTGAGGACCCGAAGTCTACCCCTCAGTCCCTCTTCAGATACCCCCACCTCAAGTGGCTTGGAAGGGGAGAGCCTGGGGATAATCTTGTCCTTCAGCAACCAGGTGTCCAATGCTCTGATGCGATCCATGCAATCCCTGCCGCAGTCCCCTTGCATTCGAATTGGGAACCCTTGGAGCGCCCCACCTGGATCCCCTCTTCATAACCCAATAGAAGAAGACTCTTCTGCCGAAAATCCCTCACCTTCACCAGCACTAGAAAACAGTGAGAGGGGTTTCTCTGTAAGGTATGCAACTTATCCAAACATATTACTGTATTTCTGAAAACAATGTAGGACAAATGCATTCAGAAGATGAAAGCGTTTGGGGTACAATTATACTTGATGCAGTGTTTTGTTGGCTGATGGTAAGGAATAAGATCACTTGCTGGGACTGAAGCCAACAATGTCAACTTCTTTCAAGTTGAGAACTGGCTGTACGATAAAGGCATTGCAGAGTTTTGAATGATTCGGGAGTCTGTTTTAAATGAAACGAGAAGAGGAAATGCAGCTCAGTTGAGTTAGTCACAAACAACAAACCCTTTCATGCTGTCTTGTAAACTCTCGCACTAGTCCTTATCACTGTAAGAAAGAAGAAAAAAAACCTTTCCCGTCATGCATGTTTGACCTAAAGTAGTTTATAGATAAATGTGGTGAGATAATAGCTAATTGACCGCAACATTTGCAAGTGAAACCTAAAATTAGTCTGTAGTTTGAAGAAGTCTAAGGTTGTAGAACAGGGGAGTCCAATCCTGCTCTTGGAAGGCCTCTGTCTGGCAGAGTTTAGCTTCAACTATAATTAAACACACCAAACTGAGCTAATCTACAGCAGCCGGGGTGGTGTCCAAATTTTCAGTTTTAATAAAACATAGGCCAAAAGTACCTGGGTGACCTACTACTTCCAGCGATATTTTGAATTGTGCATAATGATGGACACTTTACTATCCCATGAGGCCACGGGAGAGGATTTGTAAATGGCAGTGAAGCGCAACTGAAGCTGGTTGTAACTCTGGAACCAACGTAGTCTCAGCCATGTCCCAAATTGAGTTTGAGCCAACCCTACTCCATGAGGTCTACCTTCCTACAGACTTCAGTTTCAACACACTAGTAAACCTGAACACCTTTATTAGCTGGCTCAGGTGTGTTTAATTATGGTTGGAGCTAAACCCTGTGGGATGGCAGTCTTTCAGGAGCAGGTGCTGGGTTGGCTACCCCTGTTCTAAATCACTTTCAAACAAACTTATTTATATCTGGTCTACAGCTTGGCTGAACTGAGAGAGCGCACCATCGAGAGAGGGGAGGAGTGCGAGGAGGACCGGAAACCCGAACGACCGCTCACTTCAGCCTCAGCCCTCTGTGCCCAATCGATGCTCTCGGCCCTTCCTCAACAGGAGATTCAGCGGATGATTCAGGAAGTCAGGGATCTGGATGAAGACACGCTAAGGGTAGGTTTAGCTCTGGTTTAAAAATCATTGGACCAATACAACAAAGTACATGCTGTCGGCTATTGCCTGGCATAGATTAGTTTCATATCCTGCTATGCAAACCTGAATATGTATGAGGTGTGACAGATTAACAATCAGTTCTCTATAAAGGAACAGCATATTAAAAGTGCTTTTAAAGTTCAGTGAGCTTTCTTTTGTGTTTTGATATATTCTAAAGCTCACTTGCTAACAAGTAGTCAAAAGTGTGACTTCCTGACCATGGCAGTGTTGCAATGTTCCTCTGGGGTGCATTTTGCTGCACTGTTTTGCATTTATAACTGTTTCCTTGATCAATAGTCAAACTAATGTGTCTATATTCCTTGATGATAATGAAGTGATCTGCACTCAAAACCTTCACATGCCCTTAGACATAATGTGCGTTAGTGCTGTAGGAGTGAAATGCAGAAGAGGAAGTGTTGATAGTCCTGTGGTGTGACAAATTATTATTTTGTAAAAAAATCCAGTGTCTTAACTGCTATTATGTGATAAAAACGGCATGCACAATAGTTTTAATACAATTTGAAAAATTATTATCAGAAAAAATGTTTTTAGATGGAGTTTAACAGGATAGCTTAAAGCTAACTATTAGCATATGACCTTCTAGTCCCTTGATGTAATTTGTCTTATGTAAATAAGCTCAAAACACCAAATGGAAACAAATCAAATGTTAGATCCACCTAAATAGTGTCACACAGCAGGACTGTTAAAATTAAACTTTAATGATCAAAAATTCTAGTTCTTAAGAGTATGAGAGGTAAAACAAGATTGTGCCCCCTGTTCAGATATGCATATATTTATTTATATTAGATTAAAGTGTGTATCGTATCTGATAGACACTTTACTATCCCATAAGGCCATGAGAGAAGAGTCGTCTTGTCATTGATGAAGAACAGCGATGAAGCTAACATCATCAGTACACAAATTTGGATGCAGCTCTGGGATATTTGGCTCAAATCCCAAGACAAATTCAGTAGGTGTGCCTTAAAATTAGGATTTGTATTTGAGGACACTTATGATTCATATGGCTGCTAATATAAATTTGTATCCTATTTAATTCATGAGATTATGTTGTGCTATTCAACATTAGGAACATACTAGGGAAGGCTATATCTTAATCTCTTTCTCTCAAAACTGCATGATGTAATAGAGTGGGAACATGATCCAGCCCACCTGGAAATCATCAATGAGGCAGCTGTTCTTTACAAAGCGATAAACCCGTGTTTTCAAATGCAGATTGTTCTCCGGCATGTTCTAGAAAAACTGCTATGCTAAATGCATTTGAGTACTAAAATTCAGCTTACTATACAGCTACAGGTACAAAGGGTTTTTAAACCACAAAATACTCTGTAAACAAGGCTGATTTGGATTTCTTGATGTCCATTAGCAACTGGAAGGCATCCAGGTTGTGATTCTACATAAAGAAGAAGGAGCTGGCTTGGGTTTCAGCATTGCTGGAGGTATTGATCTGGAGAACAAAGCAACTACAGTGAGTGACGGCTCCAAATCTCCATAAACCACACACCACAGCTCATCTACTTCACCTTTCAACAAGAGAAACAGCCTATTGAATGTTGTCATCATTTCCACACACTCGTGTCGTTCAGACCCTGAAACACAAAAAAGGACCTTAGGCAGAATGTCCAAGCTTCAAATCTAATTCATGCTTCATGCTCAATTAAAAATGGCACATTTGTGGCAGGGTTGACATCATTGACAATAATCGTCCCTTCTGTTATAGATTTCAAATGTCATGTTTTTCATATATTTTTACACACGAAATTTGCTATCTTTGCCAGAAGGGATGATTTTTAGTACAGAAACGACTTATTTGGGTCTGTTCCTCACACAAAGCTATCATATGTCTTTAGAAGCTCACAAAATACTTTTTAAATCTTGGCAGTGAATCATCCGATTTTGTTCAAAAACTTGGACATTCTTGTAGAAGCAAAAGAAAAAAATACTAGGTCAAAATGACACGAGGATGAGTAAATGATGACAAATTTGAACTATTTCTTTAAGAAATACACTACTGGTACATTACATTAACACATTTAGAAGACGCTTTTATCAAAAGCAACATACAATAGTAGAGGAACATTAAGTTTCATACCATTCAAAAGTTTTTTTTAAAATAAATTAATACTTTTACTCTGCAAGGATGATCAAAAGTGACAGTAAAGACATTAGTAATGTTAATAATTCTATTCTATTTTTACTTTCTATTCATTTTTTCATTTTCATCATTGATAACAAGTATAATCAATAATCAGTAAATCAGCATATTCAAATGATTTATGAAGGATCATGTGACACTGAAAATTCAGCTTTGCATCAAATATTCAAATACTGTATTATTGATACAAAAAAAAATGCAGCCTTGGCGAACATAGGAAACTTCTTTCAAAACAAAATCTTATTGATAACATGAAAAAATATTTTCCAAACTTTTGAACATGTAATCTTATAGGATACTATGGTAGCTTGTTCCTGCTACAAAATAATTTTTTTTTTATAAAAAAGGTAATTGTGACTTTTTATCGCAATTCTGAGAAAATTCTCAGAGTTGTGAGATATAAACTTTCAATTGAGAGTTAAGTCAGAATTGTGACTTTATAATTCGCAATTGCTAGTTTATATCTCACAATTATGAGAAAATATAGTCAGCAATGTGAGAATTTTTTTTTTTTTTTTTTTTTTTAAAGATGGGTTGCAATTACCTATTATTTGTATTCTGCTTCAAGCTTCCATAGGATACAGTTCCAAACTTCCAGTGGTTCCACTTTAGCTGTAAATGCAAAACGAATTCAGTTAAAGCCAGAAAAATAATATTTTACAGTATTTTAAATATGAATTGTATTCACTGTATGTGTACCTTCAGGTTCACAGAGTGTTTCCCAGTGGCTTGGCAGCTCAGGAGGGCACCATTGAAAGAGGAGATGAGGTGTTGTCCATTAATGGTCAAACGCTAAAAAATGTCACGCACAGCGATGCCACGGCGATACTCAGGCAAGCCCGCACCATGAAGCAGGCTGTGGTGGTGGTGTCCAAGAACAAAGAAGCAGAAGGAAAGGGAAGCGCTAACGCTAATGAGTCTAGCAGCAGCGGGGCAGAAAGCAGCGTCACAGGTGGGCCAACATTACTGACGTCAGCACAGCGATGGCAGTAACACTTTTGTCAACACTGAAAGGGATAGTTCGATATCATCATTTATCATCATTTACGCACCCTCGAGTTGTTCCAAACCTGTTGTTCTGCTGAACACAAAGGAAGATATTTTGAATAATGTATAAGTATCCAAACAGTTGATTGTTCCATAGTATGGAAAAAAAAAATACTATGGAAGTCAATGGGGTCCATCAACTGTTTGGTTACCCACATTCTTTAAAATATCTTCCTTTGTGTTCAGCAGAAGAAAGAAACTCATAACTTGAGGGTGAGAAAATGATGCATTTTTGGGTGAACTATCCCTTTAATAGGGCATAAAGGGATACAGAAATAGGTTACAAGAGCTACATGATGTGTAATAAAACAAAAAAATAAGACTTAAGTAAAATAAAAAGCCCTATTTGAACTTGTCTAGTTTCTTCTAAGGCAATTAATTCATGTTTCACAGATGTACTAATTCTGTCCATATTCAACCAACAGATGTTCTTGCACAACTTTGGTAGAAAGTTGTTGTTTTTATTATTTTTTCAAAATGCTTCTAAATTTCTTGTGCAACGACATCAATTCAACGACATCAATTCATTCTCGATGTAGACCTTTTTTTGACCATTTTTTTTTGTGTACAGTAACAGTTGGTGTAAAAACTGACTAATAATGATAATCAAATCACATTTCAGTGGGTTTCATGATGTATCTAAATGTTCCATGTTAATATTTGCTACTCATTTAGAAAATTAATCCAAATAGTTAAAGACTAACATAATGCAAAAAATATGTGTCCATTCATTCTATGATTTAAAAATGTCACTTAGGGGACGATGGAGGTGAAGCTGTAACAATCGAGCTGGAGAAGAATGCGGGTGGAGTTGGATTCAGTCTTGAGGGAGGAAAAGGCTCCATTAATGGTGACAGACCACTAACAGTCAACAGAATATTTACAGGTGAGATTATGACTGAACCTTTATGCAAAACCTGCTCCAATATCTTATATTCATGATGACAAATCAGTAGATTCTATTCACATTTAATGTGCTGAATCATGAAATGGATGTAAACATGGCAAAATGTGTTAAATGGCCTTGTGAATACTGCAGTCTTACTGGTAGCTGAAAGCAAAATCAAAATAACCAAAATATTTAGTAAACCTGCAAATCAGTAACATAAGTCATGCAATACATACTGTGTTTTCTCTGGCAGGAAGTGACGCTGAGCAAAAGGGGCTGAAGTCTGGCGATGAGGTACTGCAGATACAGGACTCGTCTCTGCAGGGTCTCACACGCTTTGAGGCCTGGACATTCATCAAAGGTCTGAACGACGGTCCGTTCACACTCGTCATTAAGAGAAAAAGATGCGAGTAGAGCGAAACTCCATTCAAAAGCACTTATAAAAAGCCAAAAGAAAAAAAAAAAACAGAACACATACTGGACTACCAATTTTGAATCAACTTTAAATTATGCAAAAACGTTATTTCAAGCCTTGAGGAAATGCCTCCAATTTCTAAAAATGACAAATCACAATTTCTTAAAAGCAGGTTTCCCAGTTGTTTCGACCAATGAGTTTAGTCTATTTTTGCAGAGATTGCAATCCAAAAGAGCAATTTCTAACAAATTAAGTATTTTAGATTTGAGCCAGAAACTAGAATATTCACATGACTTTTCACATACCCTCCCCACTCTCACGAGTTCCACAATTGAAAAATTCCCTTATATTTCCAGGTTTTCCAAGACTGGGAAACTTGCTGGGATCATTCAGTTGCATTATTGCTCCATTTAGCCATTTATGCATTTTGACAGTTGTATGACGTGCATGATGTGCATCACTGCATGATGTGGTACTACATTATCAGAAAAGTGTGTTTTTCTGAGCAGAGTCTTATAGCACTTCACTGTGCTGGAGTAGTACTGTTTTACTGTCACGATCAGGGATTCATAAAAAAAAAAGATTCTTGTCAAGTCTGCCTGTTTTGATGCAATGATTTGCACAAGCCTGTAAATATACACTTTCAGATATCACATTATATTTCTACACCATTTCACCAAAGCCGAATGTAAAGAACGTATCATGAAGCGATCGAGGCACAATGTTTTCAAGAGGAAAACAAATGGACATTAAGCATTAAGTATAATTTCAATAACAATTTTTTGTTTGCTTTGTCAAACGCTGCCCCTAACAGCACATCACTCTTGTTTTTCATCAAATGCAGAAATAATAAATACATTCGTTTGATATTTTCAAAAAATATCTATTATCTTCTAACAGATTCCACCTTTGTCTTGTTAGTTAGGTATTTTTGGTTTCCCTTTAAAAGAAAAGCCTTAATATATTCAAATGGTGTCAGAACAAAGATGTTTTGAATGTAATTACTTGCTAAGGTTTGTAATGTCCAAATAAAGTATGATACAAATGATAAACGAGGTCATCAATCATTTTTAATATCCGAAAACAGAATCGAACAATGGGGTTTGACAAAGTGCAATTTCTTTTGTTTTTGCTTCTTTTTGGGTATTAACAAACAGTACACAGATGTCCCATAGTGCAACTACACTGAGCAAAAACAGAGAAAAACATGTTTGAAATCAACAGGAAATGACAATTGACACAATTTGAATGCATATTCCAGGGTCTTATAATGCGTGATTCATCGTTGCATGTTATTAGCAAGAAAACAACCCGTATCACTTTTAGTTTAGCGTCCAATTCTCACGATTAACTAGTTGCTTATTAGCATGCATATTACTAGTATATTGGCTGTTTATTATTACTTATAAAACACATATTAATGCCTTATTCTGCATGAGCATATTCGACATCCCTTAATCCTACCCAATTCCTTACTACTTTACTAACTATTAATAAGCAGTAATTAGGAGTTTGAGGCAAAAGTTGCAGTTAACAGTGAGAATTGGACCCTAAACTAAAGTGTGACCAAAAAAAACTTGCTCCGCCTCTAAAATGACAATTATCTGCCAGCATTCTGGTTTGTACTCCCCACTTTTCAAGACACAGTCCAATCAATTCCAGATGGATAAAATCAATTGCTTCCAACCAAAATGTTAAATTTAAAATACTTGTATGTCAGTTTACACAGAAGTAAAATAGTTTGCGAACAACATTCCATGTGGACTTCAAATTGAAAAACCCTCGCTTGACAGTGAAGCGAATTGACAAACGGTACACTCTGATTCCTAACAGAATGTAAATCTGCGTTTTAGTAAAGGGGTCATATGATGCTATTTTCAAAGATCATTATTTTGTGTATTGGCGTAATATGTGTGAACATGCTTTAATGTTAAAAAAAACACATTATTTTTCTCATACTGTACATTATTGTAGCTCCTCTTTGCTTTCAAAAACGCGTTGAATTCTACAAAACTCCTCCTACTGAAAAGCGCAGTGTGCTCTGATTGGCCAGCTGATCCAGTGCATTGTGATTGGCCGAACACCTCAAGCGTGTGTCGGAAATGTAACGGCCCTTACCACAATCGCGAGCTTCAGCTTCCAAAGCAATTATAACTAGAGTTAATAATGTTGTCAGTTTTACCATATCAGTCGGATTCTGAAAATGCAGAAGACCAAGCTGAACGATCGGAACCAACTTTGTAAGCGTGACTTCAGCAGAATGTTTTTAAGTGTACGTTTTTAGTTTGAAACTCTTCCTTTTCAGTATAACCTTGTACTCTCCCACACAAACATTTGGGTTGTATTGTTCTGGAACAGTGTTGTAAATAAATCTTAACCACTGGTTCCTAATTGCATCCAACTTTCGCATAGAAACAAACAGCGTCTCCCCACGACATGGCGGCGGCATTATGCGAATATTTCCATATAGTGACGTATGTCAGGGAGAATCTGATCGAGCCGTTTTAGCTAGGTTCTGCCTTCTCTTTTAGATCGAATAAATCTTTTTGTGGAAGACTTTGAGCTTTGTGACTTTGCAGATCTTATACACGCAGCACATAAAACAGCTACATAACACGCTAAAGAAAACGAAAAACATTAAAATGCATCTTATGACCCCTTTAAAATATATAGAGAACTTTGCACAATACTACTGAAGGCAAGCACCTTGCAAAACAGATGTGTCCCCAAAATAATCCTAAAATGCACTAGAGAATTTTGCTCATTTACAGCATATAAAAATAAAAAAGCACAGAACATCTCCAGGCCATGAGCATGCGTTCACAGTCATTGATGGCATATAGGCATAAAAACACAAAGTACCGATTGGCTAAGACGTATGTCAGGATGGACAACCGTGCAGCTGGACACAAAACGGGCAAACGTTAATTAAAGAGATAATAGTCAACAAACAAGACATACAATACACTCTCTGTTCTCTCTGAGGTCAGTCATATCTGTGACATACATAGCATTAAACAGTACTTTTGTCCATGTGCAGTTTAGACAGATTACAAGCAGAAATGCAAAGGGATTCATTTCTCCTAATATGGGGGAAACAAATATTTTTTTTCCATGCTTTTTTGGAATGTTTTAAAAGGCTTGGGCAAAATCCTGAATTTACGAATCAACTCCCTTTCGAATTTATGAGCGAGAATTTGAATTTGAACTGGCCATAGCCCACATGATTTAAAAGAATACATTTAAATTTGAATATAAATGACAAGAAGTGATTGACATTCAAAGACATTTAACACAGTCAAACAACAGAAGAATTCATTAATCTAACACAACGACAACATGTAGACCTTGGGGAAAATGAGAGCATTCTGGGAAGTTAAGCTTCATTCCACCAAGGTCCATCAAATGTGTACAGTAAATGAATATTATTATTGCAGCTAATTTATTAAATATGTATTCTTTAACATGCATACATACATATAGTATATATATATAGGGCTTGGTATCGTTATTTGTTTTTCGATATACAGTAGTCAACATTTGAAGTGTATCAAAACCTTTCATTACAGTTATACCTGCATTTTGAACAATACCCGTTCTTGTCTTAGGACAACTTTGATGGACTTTTTTTGATCCACTTCAAATGTTGACTACTGTAGATACAGATACCTTGATTTCGATACTGGTTCCTGAACGATACTTTTTTCGATACCTATTTTATAAAATCCGTTTTAACCAGATTGTTTACTTTTTTTACAGACTCAAAAACTCATATTGGCCACTGGGGGGCGGAATATATGCCTCGTGCTCAAGCGCACGCAATAAAGCTTGCCGCAAAGCACTGGCAAAAGTAGCCTAATGATTATGAACGTGTCTGGAAAAAAGGCATTTCAATTGTTTATTAATAAACTAGTGTTTTCTGAGTCAGTGTTGGCTGCAAAGATGAAGTTGACGTTTCTGACTCGTCATCTCCGCAGTATAGTGAACATGCGTGCGCCTAGAGAGAGAAATGCACCTTTCATTTGGATTACATAATCAGAGATTATTTGTTTTAGATTCAAATTGGTTAGTTTAAAAGTATACATTTCAAGCTTTCTACGTGCCTATTTCTCATGTCTGTGAGTCATGTAGCCTATACGCGGAGTTTCGGTTCATCTTGCAGTCGAAGACGAAGCGACTATCTGCTCTTAAGTTTATTCCGTTCATCAGATTTGTCGTGTTGCGCTGAATTTCGGCTGCCTGACAAATTATTACCCCCCTTGTTGAAGTCGCTACCTGATTGGATGCCTAATCCTAAATCGGCACAACACCGGTCTTGGCAGCAATTATCTTGTCGTAAATATTGCATCGCGCTCTGTTGGCATCGAGCCTGGTGAAATGTTTTTTACATCTATTGTGGTTGGGACACTACAGCCTCACTTGTGAGCCACGTCTCTGGGTGTAACCGGCGTAAACTAGTGTTTTTCCTTGATGCCTCGCCACAGCCAATAATGCTGCATGCTTATTGGCTCACTGACGTTGACGAGATTAACCACTTAGGTATCGAAATTTGGTACCCAACGACAAGACATTTTTTGATACTCGATGGTATCGAGGCAATTCGGTCGTTGGCTAAAAAGTATTGAACTTGATACCCAGCCCTATATATATACACGCACACACACACATTTTATTTAAAATTTTATTCAGGTAATTGTCAACTTCCATGAATTCGAATTAGAACTGTGCATCTTGTTCTCTACCTCAATTCAAATTCAGGAAATCTTTTGGAATTTTATTCATTTTTAATTACTCTGATTCCACTCAACCCTATTCCATAAATGTGTTATTTGTTTCTCTCAAAGAGATGTATGAAATAACTTTCATCCATTAGCATTCCCAATTGTCTTAATGGCAGTTGCTCGGCTGGCTGGCACAGAACACGGATACTTTTGAGTGGCCATCAATGGAGAAAAACGCTTTATACTGGTTACAGAATCACCAGCAGGGGCTAATGGGGTCACGCTAACCAACTAAACCTTGAGCCAACTAAATCATTTCACAACATCCCTCATTCGGCCCTTCTTTTGTCAGCCTCAAACATACAGTACACAATCTCAGTTATGCTAACCGAGAACAGCAGCAAATACAGTTCTTCAAATGTCTGAAGATACTCGTCTGTCGGTAAACATTGAATTGCAAAATTCCAGTTATGCGCAATAATATCACTATTCAAATATAGAAATACTGGGTTTCAGACTTGTGATTTAACTGTCAAACTCAAGCATTTATCAAGAGCTCAATTATTCAAATAAAAATGCAATCTTTAAACTCAGACAACTGACATCAAATATTTGACTGAAATTCTAAAAACAGCTTATTAAAAGAAGGCTTTGTTCCAAAAACTAGTGAACTGCCTATTTAGGCCAGACATCAAAGGCGAGCTCCTGACAGTGGTTTCAAAAAGTAAGCAGCAACCCAATGTTGCCTTCTAAGATAGCTCAATCTAAAGCAGCGTTGCATGTTACTGCACATGTTAATGCTAAGCTTTATTGAAATCAATTGTGAGCGAGTCTCTCTTTTGCTTCATGTAGCACTATTTGTACGACACACACAAATCAGTAACTTAGTAGAAACGATGTTTACTAGGTTATTTTTGGCCATTTATGAATGAAATTATTTTCAAATTTATCATAATGCTACATTATAGGATCACACCATTCCCCTGAAACAAACTGACTGATAAAATGTCATTTGAATGCACTGCACATCACTTTGGATAAAAGCATCTGCCAAATGCATATGTGTAAATGTCTGTTTTTTTTGCAATAGTTCCTCATTTGAATCACTAGTTTTCAGAATTTATGAAAAAACATGGTAAAGAAAATGTTCCCGTTTTCTATACCTATAAAACGGTCTGTTCAAGTGTTTGGACACGGTACTGTAGCTGCTGGAAGAATCAGGAATAAGGTCATTTCACTTCCCACCTAAAGCTTGATTAAATGCAAGGTGTGTCAAATTATCAAAATATCCACATTTATGATTAAAGGGGGATATTTTCTATAAAGTGTCTGGAGCTATTTCATCGATTTTACAGCTTTGGTCAGGTTGCTGTAAAACTCCACCATACTGGTGGGGAAAAATGAATCGACAACTGAACGAGGAAGTAAACCTCCAAGATCAGTCTGGAAAAAGCTGAACAGCTGCGTTTTGCCTGGTTCCCTACAGAAAAAAAAAAAAAAAGGTATACTTAATCTTTTTTTTACGCTACTGAAAAATTTGAAATGTCATTTTGTCACCACCTGCTGTCTTGTACTTGAATTACATCAACTCAAGACACTTGCATTGAATGGCATGCTTATCTTTCTGAGAAACTTACCCAGGAACTGGAACACAAAAACAACCACACGGGTGGTTGAAGCCTCTGACATAGCCGGGTTGAGGAGGACAGTTTGGATGGCTTACATTGGTAGCTATAAAACAATAAAAATGTGATTATCAATGACAGCATTATTAAGATAGATACCAAGTCTTATGTCAATGGAAAAATGATGCTATTTAAAACAAGTTTCTGAAATTCTGCATGAGAATAGTGTCAGATTCAAATCCAATTAAAGGAGGAAGGCCATAACACTGCATACCGTTTGAGGACACTGTGCCATCCTCATAGCGTTTAATGGAAATGACATCAACAAAATCTCGAGGTGATATAATGCCCATAGCAGCCGAAGGCGTGACGGTTCGGCAGATCAAAACATCCTAGGCAATGAAAAAGAAAAGATTTAGAAAGGTATACATCTGCCGTTGTACGCATCAAATCATTGAAATGCCATGTGCATCAAAAAACATCTCAATGGAAATTAGAAATAAGGCTTATTAAAGGTGAAGTTTCACTAGCGTCACCAAATGAAATGAAAAAGACTGTTTTCAAACAGGTATCCCAGACATTGATCAGACAAACTCCTCCAAACTCACGCCATTGGTTGAGCCAATGTTGCTTTCGGGCTGGTTTGTAAACTCAAACAAATAGATTGATGTTTTGAAAGCGTCATAGAACCGTTGAAAGTGTTTTAACATAAAAAGTACAAGCATCACCTTTAACAATCCAAGTAAGAATACAGAAATAAAACATTGTTCCTTACACATAGCTGAAAGGACAAACTGGTCAGACCATGAGATTTCACTCAGTAATCTGCTTTCATATATGAGTGTATTTGTGTTGATCTTACCGCTGACACCTGCTCAAGCAGCTCAAACTTTTTTATATTAGAATCCCATTTTACACGAAGTCCATTGATTTCAGGTTTCAAGCAGTCCCACACTTTCTCTGGACTGCCATTGACAATCCCCTCCCCTTTATACCTGAGAAACCCAAAGAACACACAATCACTGCTCATGCATACTGGACAAAGGTTAATGTCACTGCTGTCATGTTTGCACATGATGTCGACAGTATGTGAATGCTGCAAAAAGATATCTTAAAATATATAGATTATAATGTAAATGTAGATAAAAAGCAAATGTTAATAAATGCAAATACAAAGAAAAACTTTAGTGATATGCACTATACATGATGTTTTTTTTATTACACATTTTTACCTACAAATGTACAGTTTTTTAAAGACTGCACAACAAAGTTTTTGATATTGTGACATTATGGAAATTACAGCAAATAGAAATGTGTACACTTGTGCAACTGATGGGAAGTTTTCTGAGAAGGGGACAAGCCTAAAATAATGAAATTCTGGTGAACCTAATGCTTCACTTTCTTGGGAAAATGTCATTGAAGAACAGCAATGAAAGACAAGTAAAGCTTTTGTTGATACATTTAAAACAGTTTACATAAAAAAAAAGGAATCATTGCAAATATTACAAAACATTTAATTTTGAGAACATACCAAAAATCCTCAAGGCCACAATCAAATCGTTCATTCCTTCAGGAAACATACGCGTTTCCTTTTCTACAAATCCAAGAAGTCATATGACCCTAATAGAAGACTATACTCTAGTGATTATACAAAGTAAATATTTGCCAAGTGAAATACTTTCTGAGATCTGAGAATAACTAAAGCAATGCATATTCCACATGATAAATGTTGAAACCGTTTAGGATTATTTTTAAATCCCTTATAGCATGGGTATTGATCTCATTCTCAGACTAAATTGTGTCCAATTTAGTGAGTGCACAATATAATATGTAACAGGGTTGCCACTAACTAGAACACGACCAGTCAGCACATATGACGTCACGATGACAAATATACAAGATCATGTAATGCACAATATTTTATACTTACACATATCCCGCGAATTCACAAGAGGGTCTCCAACCCACCACAACATCATTCTAGAAAAAACAAAAACAGTGTTTAAAGATAAACCACTGCTAAACATGGCAAAAAAAAGACACTTCTGTTTAATACTTACAGTTTTCTTGCATGTTTTCCATCCGGACTCGTCTTTTTTGTAGCTCAAAAGACGATCCTCCACTGATCTGGCCGTGTGCATATAATCCATGACGATGGGCAGTGTATAGTTTTATTTGATATTTTATTGGCTTGTCCTCTAACAGCACATGTATTCAAAGCGTTCGCGAGCGACCGGCAGCAACCTTCTACTGTATAGCGTAAATGACACAATTTACCTTCGATTCTTCCGAGATCTTTGTTCAAGTACATTCAATATTCATAAACTAACAGTGGCTACAGTTAAATCCGCCAGTTTCTGGTATAACATACAGATGTTTTCAGTTCATTCATTAGTTTCAAATGATAAGGGTGACTGTCATCTTGATTGAACGGCTGCGACGGATAATAATCGATACAGTTCTATAGAGATGAAAGGAACGCTTCAATTACACATGCGCGATCAAAATAATAAAAAGAGATACAATTAACCCGTCTAATGCCACGAAATCATCATAATTTTAAAAAGGCCACTTCCTTAGTCCTGGAGATCGTCAGACAAATGTTGCATTCTGGGAACTGGAGTTTTCTGTGTCGATCCTGTTATACAGTACAGTAATGTCCCTATTGCCACGCGACTCGCTATTTAAATAATACATATTCAAATATTTAAATATTTAAGTGAATGTGAGGCAATTTTAAATAATTACACACTACTTCGGTTTGAGCAGATGTTATATAATTTTTTTCATTCTGATCTATGAAATGAAAATATAGAGCTAAGTAATACCAATAATTTTGATAAATGTTTTGCAGTATTTTATATTTAAACATTATATATCCATTATAACCTTTAATAAAGTTACAGAAATCAGAATATCAATCCAAAAGGTGGCTAAAAATGAACTTTATGTTGACAACCGCATCTGAAATAATTTTGAAAATGTCATGGATCGTGAAAAGCACATCACTGAGTGATCAGTGGTTAATCGTAGCTCTTGTGCCTGAATGTGAGAAAATATTTCTGAAAGAGTTTCATTGACCTTTTGGAAGTACTTCCTTGAATTACAACACACGCATATTCATAACCCTCCTGGACTCAAATATGGATTGATGTGATGCTTTTTTCCCCTACTTTATGCCAATACTGTAACCACATATTCAGGATTGTAAATAAAAATAGTTCAGAAATGCAATAATTTTATAAACTGGCAATTGAAAAACTCGCACACGCAACCTCTTAATCTGAATATTGATATTCAAAGTGTTGAGGTAACCATAAGTGCTTTAGAGGTGCTTCATTTGTATCAAGGCCACAACCCTCAGAGATTGAGGGGAAAAGTGTTCAATAACAGTTTTTCATTGGCTGACTCAAAATGTTTTCATTTAGTACACACCCGATCTTGAATACATGGTTACAGCCTTGAATTGGATAGTTGAGTCCACAAATGTCCAAAAAATATAATTTTTATATCAGATTTAATGAAAATCTACAGATACATGCAAAGTACACTTATACAGTTTGGTCATTTATTTGTGCTTTACTTTACAAGGCAAACTGCAACTTTTATAGGATAAACCTGTAGGTATTACACTGAATTATTGGCCGTTTCAAAACCTAGTAAGCTCCCTTGCTGTCTGCCACCTACATAAGCAGCTGCCTAGTAATGAGGGATCCAAACTACATGGAACCTCATAAATGACTGATATGGAACGCTCTATTCTATGTAGGCAGCAACTGCATGTTGCTAAGCTAATGGTGCAATACTCAAGTTAAAAATGATGTAAACCAGTAAATTTTTAATCAGATAACTTTTTTTTATCATTATTTTTAGAATGTAATGAAATGCACTATAATTAATATAGTAACAATTTATCTCAACTCCATACATCACCTTGGATGGATTAATGCTGTTTCAGACAGTTTAAGTTTACCATTTGCAAACATTTTTTAGTCATACTGTGTTCCAGACAACTCAGAATTCACTCACCTCCACTTAAAATAACCAGTGGAACATCACTTAAATTGCTGGTATCTTGGAAACGATGCTTCTCAATGAAGTTGAGGGTTGATCGATCAGCTCTGAATTAGTGCAAGCAAAGTCCCAGTAGTTATTATCAAGTAGTTGGCGAGAGATTTGAGTAATGCAGGGATGACATTTTTGTAGGCCAAAACCCTATTCTTTTTTTTTTTTTTTTTGCTCTTCCGTTTCCATAGTCCTGAAGTCAATGGTTTTTTGGTTAATTGCCTGAAATGAAATTAAGTTGTTTTCATGTTTTATTCTAAAACATAAAATGCATCAGTAATACCCACTTGTGATTTTTTTAAAGGGGTCATATAATGGTACATGCACTTTTACAAGTTGATTGTACTGAAATGCGTGTTGGCAGTGCCTGTACACAACCATCATAAAATGATAAAAATCCATCCAGTGTTTTTGTTTTAATCTCCTTATATGTTTTCCCGTCTCAAATCGAGCCGTTCGAGCGTGTGACGTCACACGCTCGGAAGCCCCTCCCACGATTGTTGAATGACAGCAGCGATTCAACACAGACCCGCCCTCGCTCATGAGCCAGCTGTCAATCATAGTCTGCGCGGATCGGCGCGGTCATTGTTGATATGCTGGAGCACTGTCTATGAGCAGAATGGCGTCTAAGCGATTGTGGTGTTCTGTTCTTGGGTTTAATAACGAACACAGCAGTCATTTTAATGTTCCTAAATCCGAACTGCTGAAGACGCAGTGGCTGAGTTTGTTTTCGAAGGGAATACTCCCCACGAGCAACGTCAATGCTCTCATGTTTGCGCGAATCATTTCACACACCAGACTGCTTTATAAACGAGGGTCAGTATAAAGCTGGTTTTGCTAAGAAGCTGCTCATGAAAAAAGGATCGGTACCAGCTATTCATGTTCCTGTTGAACCTCTAGAACAACTGAAGTGAGTAACGTTTTATTAAACTTTATATTGATATTTATATTAATCTTTGCAAATCGCTAGCTGCACGCTTCACAATGAATGCGTCTAAGGTTTACACTCAGGGTACATTACGGCATGTTTTCTATGTATGATGTTCTCAATATAATTCATAATCCCACGTTTATACTGAACAACGCGTTATGGTTATTGTGTTATTGTGTTACAAACGGTGTACGCACAGAACAGAGAGGCGGGGTGAGCAAAGCTCATTATCATTTAAAGTCATATGCACTGAAACGGCGTGCTGAAAACAGAGCTGTTTTTGACCAGGTAAAATAAGTGTTTTCTTACAATAGTAATGAGAATTTTTAATTAAAGTATATTACAAACTTTTATTTTAGACCCTAAAAAATCATACTAGCTTGTACAAAAATGGCATTATATGACCTCTTTAAAGCTTTTACTTGTCTTGAAAAAGGCGGTTGCTAACAAGTGCCTAAATTGGACGACAGAGGTTGTCGTCATCATACCAAACGGGTAAACTCATTTTCTCACTTAACCACTTCCATAGCCTTGTGTTTGTAATGAGCACTTGCAAACTATTATAACAAACTTTCATAGGAAATTGTTGGAAATTTGTCGAAAGCTTAATGTTGGTGACAGTCATGCGACTGTGGCGTAGTTTGTTTATAGCCTAACTCTACATTTATGAATTTTAAAGCCAAGAAATACAATCGCTAGAAGTAAAAAGCTAGTGTTCATTTGAGAGGATTATCATAATGAAAAATGTCTAAGAATAATAAACATAATTTCTACGATAATCCAAAAGCCAATGGAAAAATCCTAATGGGATTTTGTTGAGGGAAACAGGATGATGCAAACTTCCAGGTTGGACTACAAAAATACATCATCACTCCAGCACTCTATTCAAAGTTCAGAGTTCCAAGTTGTCTGGAATGCAGCATTATTCACAGTGCATTCTGGGAAAGGATGCATTACAATTTCACCAATAGAAGTTATCTTAGAAGGCAGGATAATAATGCAACCTACCTTTTGAAACAGACTTCGTGTTGGTGTGCGCCTATGAGGCCTTAAAATGCTTCCTACGTAGACAGCTCACTAGGGTTTTTGAAACAGAGCCATAATCTCGGTTTTAGATCTAAACAGGTTAAACATTGGAGCAGACAAGATCATTGGTGCCAGACACATTGAGTTTAACGTTTTTCTTTAATTTCTTTTTGGTCGGCTTTGCACTGGGCTTCAGGTACTTTTCCTTGTTGTGAATGACCTGGATGTACTGGTCTGTGCTGCTGTTTTGTTGGTCACTACTAGAAGCCAGCGATGCCGAATCTGACTCGGTCAACGACGGCTCCACTTTGTGCTTGGTCTTGGGCTTGACGTATTGTTCACCGTATCTGTGAGCCGACTCTGGGCCTCGGATGTTTGTTTGAGAGCAAGGGTGCAAGCCATCATTCACCCAGTCATCTTCATGATCATCCTCCTCTTCGTCGCCATATAAACCCTGCTCCATAGACAACTGACTGTTTACCGCGTCGCCAATGTAGAAGCGTGCGGTCTGATGGAGGTCTGTCAGTGATCGTGGACGGTTCGATCCCCTCCTCGAGCTGCTCTTGGGGTCTTCCTCTTCCACCTCCTCTTCCTCGCTGAGGTGTGGCTGGTGGCTGCGGTGAGGGGTACGAGGAATGTAACACTTTACATTACGTGGATACAGCTCTACAATCTCCGTCGGTTCATCTGCTAGTCGGTAATGTCTCGGTACGCGTGTAGTGGAGCGCACAATCTTCTTGCGAGCTTCATGTTCGTTCACGATGACGTAGCGCGTCGTGTGTGCCCGGCGGCCCACATAGCTCTGAGCCGCCATTATGGCGGGCTCGTTGTGCATGGGGCGGATGGTTTTCCGAAACAGCGGATCGGAGTGGATGTTCTCGGCGTACCGTGAACACGGGTTGTAGGCCATGTTGTGGTAGGACTTGGAGCGGCAGGAACCACTGGAGCTGCCCAAGTATCCAGAATGCCTGGATATCAGAAAATGCAACATGTGACATGAATATGTATGTTTGTACATAATTCACCATACCTTCCATAAACTTGAGAAACAAAGACATTTATCTTTATGGTGCAGCTTGTAACTAATGTTAAAGGAAAAGTTGACCCAAAACTCTTTCCAAGATGTATTGTTTTCTTTCTTTTGTGAAACAAAAAGCTGAAACAGGATGGTGATTTATACTGTCATGGACTAAACGCACCATGAAACATTCTGCCTACATTCTTCCTTAGAGCTTGCCTTGTGTTTCACAGAAAAAGAGAAAATAATATACAGTCAGAATGTTGTGAGGGTGAGTAAATAACAACATTTTCAGTTTTGGGTGAATTGCTCCTTTAATTAAATAGTATGAAGTGCACTGCATTATGAAATGAAAGGTGAAGCCTAATGAAGTTTTACTCTCAAAGTGCAAGCACTGAAGTTCTATTACCTATCCCTGATCTGATATAATACCATAAGTGTCTTAAAGTGAAAACAATACCCCCCCCCCCCCCCCCCCCCCCACCAAAGGACCTTGTAAAGGGTTCAATCAAGTTAAGCTCTATGAACTGCATCTACATATTTTGTCCTTTAGTTAGTAGACACAGTGCCAAGTATAATAAAAGCAGTACAATTTGAAATGCAGAAGTTTTAATAGGAAATATATATATATATATATATATATATATGAATTAGTTGAGTGCTCGCAGAAGAATTTATGCTAAGTCTAGCATAATGTTGATTACCACAGAAAATTATTTTGACGTCCTTAAGTTTAAAAGAAATTAATCCGAAAAAAGCACATTTACAGTAATGCATATAAACAATTAGCAAGCCAGTGTTCTGAAGGGTTTAAAAGCAGAAATATAAAAGTTTGTATTTTGTCAAAGCACTTAACATTAATTATTCAGACAGAGTTTACTGCAGATTATAGTTTGGTCAGTAAAGCTGTCTAAAAATCATCCTTTTTGAGCTGGGACTAATTTTTTAAGTGGGTGAACGTCTGACTATGAATTACAGACATCATTCCTGTTATTGAGGGGGCTTAATGCATATCAAGCGAAAGTTACATGCTATGACATTCCAAAAGTTTGGATAAATTACTTACACACACACTCTCACAACATCAGTAAGTGGTTCTGTAATACAAGTCTTACTTATATAGTGGTGGGAGAGGCAATTTGTAACTTGTGTATGTACGAATGTACGAGGCTTCTGGTATCATCCGGTTAGATATTTTAGCTAAAAAAAACTGTTGTGCTGCTTGATTTATTATCGTTATCACAAACACATTGGTTTGTAGAACAAATAGTTTTACCATTTACTGCACTTTGTCATTGTTCTAGTTATTTACCTGTAGTGGCTAATGAATCAGAAGTCTTGCACATTCATGGAAAATAGCTTACGTCCTCGTTGCAAAATAAGCTGGATGGTGGCTGTGCTTTTGAAACGGTGTGTATTTTACTCTACACTCCTTACTGTAATCCAGTGTTATTTTAGTATTATTTATTTACCATTATTTTGAATTAGTGTTTATTCGTATGTTTTCATTTTCATTTTATGTGCTTTTATAATTTTTTAAAAAAATTGTTTTTAATATTTCTATTTTACTTCATTTTAATTTCAGTTTTAGTAATTTACTAGTGCTTCAACATTCAACACGAAAATTACAAATGTTGCCTTGGAAAGTAAATGAAATAAAATACGCTATATTTCAATCAACAAAATTTATTTTTAATAGTTTTAGTTGCTGAAATTATGATTTTTTTACCTTTAAATAAACGGAACAAAATAATCTGAAATGATTTTCAGCAGTAATCTACATTACGCCACAAACGCTGTTGATAGAGCTTAATTTGTATAAGAAACAGAATAGGTAGAAACACAACTGTAGAAATAGGAATCACTTGTTTATTCATAATCAGACTTCATGAATATACCAAACCTGATGGGTATGTACTCCACTCGTCGTACTTGTCTTTGAGGAACTGAGGGGCTGCTGTACATTCTGAAAGCATTACACGGGCAGAAATGGAGGGCAGTGAAGCTTCATGTACAGCAGATGTATGGAACCTAAGCAGCAGTGAATTGAAACATAAAGCTCTTATACCACAGAGCAGCACAGACCTGCTGGCAACATGCTCTGCTTTGTGTTTCTGCCGCACTGGGACAGAGGGACTCCGCGTCGCTCCGGCAGCTCTGGGGATGTCAGGCCGTGAAGCCGACTGGGATATTGTCCGGATGCTGTTGCAATGGCGGACGGGAGATTGGAAGTTGGTGACGCTACCGTTGCGCCGTGGAGGGGAGGTGGAGCGGGCGGACGACTCCACACTGGTGATGTCGCTCTCTTGTTCCTTCTTTTTATCGCCTCCCTCAGGTGCCTGCAGACGTGCTGTAAATCACACATTTACACACCCAAATGTCCAGCCAACTGGTGACAGGCTGATATTGCCTTATGACGTTATATATTGTGAGTACATTACTTTGGCCGTTACTGCTCAGCGGCCTGAAATGTGCCCGAAACGTTCCCTTGTTTTCATAATGAAGATAGTTCATAGACAAAGTACCTGCGGCTAACTGAAATACTTTCTTCTTGTCGTCTGTGCGCTCCTGCAAGAGGAAATTTAATTAGCGTTATAAAATAAACTGCTGAAGAAATGAGATTATATGAAATCCAAGGACCGTATCCTGTTTCGCTCGGGTTCCTTATTGTAAATCCCAGATCTGTTAAATGAACTGAAATACATCATAATGATATTCTATTTGGAGTGACTCACGGTTTGAAGCTGGAGTCTCAGCTGGCTGTTGGTGACTTTGAGTGATCTAGCGATGGATTGTAGGTAGTAGATCAGCATACTGAAAGGGACAATGACAAACAGCACAAGGTTGAGTGCATTGAAGGCATTTGTCCTGCTTGCCTGGTCGAATTATGCTGGCTTGACTAAAACAATGTGCTGTTATTGTACAAACAGGGGTAAAGGGCTTTTTCAAACTCTCTAACCCCAGACCAAAACTTGTAAATGTTAAAGCTTTCAATCTACATCCTCTAAACTAAGCACAGTCGTGAGGCTATGTTCTTCCTAATTGAATCAACCTGTTTGTTTATCCTACAGCAGACTATCAAAAATACCCAAATTCCCCTCTTTTGTTCAAAAGTAGGGATAGGGATCAATAAGTGTTTGTTTTTGAAGAATTTTCTTTTGTTCAGCAAGGACACATTAAATTGATCAAATGTGATAGAAAAAAGATTTATAATGTTACAAAAGATGTCTGTTTCCAGCAAAGTCTGTTCTTTTAAACTTTCTATTAAATCAAAGAATCCTAAAAAGTGCATCACGGTTTCCACAGTAATGTTTTTTGATAATAAGAAATGCTTCTTGAGCAGCAAATCATCATATTAGAATGATTTCTGAAAGATCATGTGACACTGAAGACTGGAGTAATGAAAATAAAAACAATTTTATTGACCCCAAACTGTAGTGTATCTCATTAGCAACCACATATAGCAATGCACTAGTAACCATCCAGAACATAATTTTTTTTGTCAGGCCAACATCCAATGTTTGTCTTGATGAGCTTTAATTTTCTAGCTATTTTCTCAGTGTAGACAGAAGCACTTACAAGAGTAGAAGCAAAGCGGGCAGCACCACCACAGGACTGGTGACGTAACTCATCACTTTATTGAACCACAGCGGGAAGTCGTTGGCAATGGTTTCGGAGATGATGTCGTAAATCTTCTCCTGGCCACTACAGAGCGGGAGAGGAGATTGAAGAAATGCAGAAAAAACATCAACTATGTATTTTCATGTAAATTATTTAAAAAACAAAAGCATATTATACAGAGCTAATATAATTTTTATATTATATTGACACTAAAACGTTTAAACCAAAAAAGTCTTCTACATACTGTATCTCGTATCACTTTAGTCTCTTTCTTGCAACATACCATTTTAACTTAACTCAATATTTCAAGTCATGTATTCAATTATTTTGAATGTGCATGTGTAGTAATTGAGATAATGTACAGTTCACTAGGCATCACTGCAAAATAAACGATTTCGGGGTGATACAACAAGACTGATCCCCCTGGATTTATTTTGCATTAATGATCAGCTGACTATATACTAACACTTACTTACAGAAAGCATTGTGTTATTAATTGCAGAGGTTATGATTTCAAGCGGTTTCATATATGAAATTTGCAATGTAGCGTAGCGTCTATGCAATTTCTTCGCATTTCCATTAGCGTCAACACACAAAATAGCCAAAAAAGTTTTTTAAAAATACAAAAATTAGTATCCTCCCAAAATTATACCATTGGCTGAGTCAATATCGCTGTTTTAGCAATGTTTTGATACTGTAACGGAGTCGACACTTTTTGAGGGTAGTCAACCACAGATTGCTTACTTATAGTTGTCTTTGCATATCTTTGGGATCCGTGATTTCAACATAGTACATCACCTTAAATGAGATTAGATTTAAACGCCGCCACATTTGGACGGTTTTATTTACCTGAAGGGTCCACAGTACTGAGACGGCCGGTACCTCACAATGGCAAAAATGGTCGGTAACATACACAGGAAAAGCATGAAGAGAAGCATCGCCAGATAGAAGTTATTTGATCTGGGGAGTAAATACATTTCAATTAAAAACAATCCCAGTAAAATATTATGAATTAACTCAGATACACATTCATATTATCTGATCATATCATATCATTCGTTTCATATTATCTGATGCTAAGTTTTTCACTCCACGGCTACAGAGGGATGATCCCTTATTATCGTATAAAACACAGCAGTATCGGTGAAGATGAAATATGTGTAGACCACTTGGTAATGTTTCGCCTCACATCTGTGACTGACTGATAAAGCTTCAATGAAGATGCAATTACATAAATCTGAAAGAGAGACGCTTTGACCAACAAAGTCGCTTGTCACACTGAAGTATCCACAGTTATCTCTGTACTCACCACGCTGGAAAATGAGAGGGATTTGGATTCAGTGAAGCAGAGAACAAAAGTGTACCATTCACAGAGTCCCTGATCCATACACTGAATGCTCGCTGATTTTAAATTAATCTCACAGCTCGTAAAAACCCCCGAAAATTGTTTCACATTACAGCTCAGAGGAATTTACACTCCAGCCATTTAGATCTTCAAAAATGTTGGTTTTACCAGCAAAGGAATCACATTTCTTTGTTGCAATTTAATAAAAACATATTAGCATATGACAAAAGCCTGTCAAACTTGGATTAGGTTAAGAGTAATTTTTACTATCCATATGCATTGCAATAATATTCCATGGACAAGCAAATTGTATGTCCACACTCAGGGACGTGTGCAGACAATTTGGGGGGGCGGTGCGGTGCTCAAGTAAAATAAAAAGGGCACCCCTCTCATAATTATTTATAAAAAGGTAAAATTACAGATTGTTGATCATCTTTTAATTAATTACACTGTTTAACTCTATATACTATAGGGCTGTTATACCAATTAAATGAAAAAATCAGCAAACTCCCTCTTACCATTTATCAAAATCCACTTACACAGCAATTACAATTGCCTAAATAATGTTATGAGATTAATGTTCTAAATATAACATTTTGAAAATAAAAATATGAGATGTTGGGAAAAATGAAATGATATGCTGTATATGAAACTAAAACTACCAGTAGGTGGCGATTAATCCAACTGATTCGTTCAAAAACAGTGAATCATTCAAGAAAGAAACACAGCTGTGTGTTGCTGGGAGACGCAAATTTTCTGCTTAGTTTGGAACTATTTTGGTTGGCAAAATAGACCTTATAGCCCAGCTGAGGATGTCATCACCAGCCCCGCTCCAGATCCACCGGATCCAGAGCCCCGTCAGCCTTCACCATGCCAGATTCCACCACAGACACGGAGCCTGAGCCTGCAGTGGATAACGTGCCGGTGAACCCAACTAAGCCATATCTCATATCTCAATCTCTAATTGTTTATACCCCTCTCCAGCTTCACGTCCTCCACCAGAGCCCCCACCCTCCTCTGATAGACTCTTTACTGCGCGAGGACATGCCTTCCGAGAGGGGGAGCTACTGTAACATGCACATTCTGTTTAGTTCCTGTTTAGTTTGACCTAGATTGTTATTGGTTGTTATAGTTACTGATTTGATTTTCCTCATTATTGATTCCCTTCACCTGGGTGCCATCTAGTTTCCTTTGTTGGCTCTGTGTATTTAAGCCCTCAGTTTGAGTTAGTTCCCTGTCTTGTATTGTTTGGTTAAAGTGGTTGGTTTTTGCTCCCTGAGACATTCTCCTGTGGATTACTGTATTTGGACTTTTGCATTAAAGACTATTCTTTGGGTTCTTCGTCTTCATGCTCTTTGTACAGCCACAAGATGTGACAGTAATAATTACAAACGAATTCTTGCAAAACATTTTTTTTTTTTGAAAATTCAAGAAATATTTAGTATTCAAATTAATATTTTACGTCAAGAAAATAACAACCCCCAGAACAATTTGACAGCTCTAAATGGTTTTTGAGTTCAGTCTCAAAAAATGCATGTTGCAATAATCACAAACAAATGGAAATCATGAAAGTCATGGAAATGCATTGATCAAACTATCATTTCAGTTTAGCTTCAAATGAACTGAAATTAATTGCATCCTGCTCAACTGGCCCTAGGATTTATGAAACCAATGTTCTAAATGGTTTTGTTATGTTGTAAGCAAATCATGGCAGATTCTCCTAGGTCAGCTACACTTGTATCAGATCAGAGGTAAATGAATGTATAACCTTTAATGACCTCATTCTGCCTCACTGACCTGGAGGCCTTAAAGACCTGCTGATGGGGGACGTTACAGGTCAGCACAGCCCAGCTCCGCAGGTACATCAAGCCAATGAGCTTCAGGACATTAAAGGCGGGCAGACAGGGTGAAAAGAATGCTCCCATCCTACAGGGAGAGAGAAACACGGGAAAGATTTATCTCCCCTTTTAAAGGAGTTCTGCTTGTGCACCTAGAGCTTCAGAAAAGTCATTATTGTTGGATTACAAAGCTGAAGGGAAATGGACCATTGAGGTAAGGAGCACCACGGCAACAGGACAGTTTATTGCAGATATAGATAGACAAGCTTATATATAACAATAGACCCAGAGAGATTAGAACTGCCAGAGATAAACAGCAGTCGTCGTAATGTAAAAATAATAATTGTGATGCATTTCTTTTTTATATTGATAATCATATCAAAGAAAATGTACTGATAAATGGATAAATCGTCACTTACCATATCATTCCCTGGTTGTATATCAGATGAAGAACATTTTCAGCTATTTTAAATTCACCATATTCTGGCTGGAAAAGGAATTTAATTTAATTGGAAAGGGAATATAATTACTGAATACATGTTATAGAACAGGGTTTCCCAAACCAGGGTTTGATTTGTGAGTTGTTGAAAAGCTAATAGTTAAAAAAATCATTAATATTCAAAGTAAATAATAAAGAAGAAATGAAACACTTACTAAAATAGAAGTCAAGTTTGATTTGTTTACCTGCATGTCATGTGACTATTAACTAATACCAGAGAACCGTGAACTTGCGAATGTGTTGTTAAATTATATCAAATATTACTTCAAGTAAATATTTTAGGTCAAAGGGGTTAAAAAAAATTAGGATTAGAGTTTAGGAATCCCTGTTATAGAAAATTCAGAATCCAAAACATAAATGACAAGTGATAAGTTCAATTAAGTAACATAATGCTTTAGTCTTATTGTCTTAAAACATTAAATAGTACACATTATTTTCTACAGTTTGTGAGGGTCAAATCAGCAGAAATATGCTATTCTGCCATTTAATTTGACACAAAAAATTGACAAAAAAAGCTTAAAAGTAATGGGGTTTTTAATGTTCAGTATGTTTCCCATCTAAACAGGCCTATCGATTGGTCACAAATCTGCTTGAAGAACCTCTCAAAGTGTGTTTTTGAACAGAAGTGACAGACTTACAAACTTGCTCTCCAAGTCCCAACAGCAGCAGTCACTCAAGTATCGAACCACCAGTCCACGGATAAAATCAATGAGCAGGATACTTGCCACCGTGAAGATCATATCAATGATGGAGAGCTTTAACATCTCCTGTAAATAAGATAAATAAAATAAACAGCCTGCATTTACCTTCCTTGTGCAGGGTGCAATTTTACCCCTCCACAGACCATCAGTATCTCCGAGCAGGACGCTAAATCAGATCTTTGGATTTAAAACCAAGAGAAGGACCAACCTGACAGCCATTTCATTAAATAAAAGCCAGGCTGGATATTTCAACCCACAAATACAATCTATATTCTTTTCCTTCAGAAGGAAACTTATTTATATTGTTTGTCACAACATTGCCTCTGTATAATGTATCAGTATAAATCTAACAAACAATATCGAGCATGTCTGGGTATGTCTCTATACACAGTGTATTTGGCCACTTAAGACACACAAAGTGTGAATAAATGTCTGTATAATTGTATAATATTGTATAATAAAATATACACTCACCTAAAGGATTATTAGGAACACCTGTTCAATTTTTCATTAATGCAATTATCTAATCAACCAATCACATGGCAGTTGCTTCAATGCCTTTAGGGGTGTGGTCCTGGTCAAGACAATCTCCTGAACTCCAAACTGAATGTCAGAATGGGAAAGAAAGGTGATTTAAGCAATTTTTAGCGTGGCATGGTTGTTGGTGCCAGACGGGCCGGTCTGAGTATTTCACAATCTGCTCAGTTACTGGGATTTTCACGCACAACCATCTCTAGGGTTTACAAAGAATGGTGTGAAAAGGGAAAAACATCCAGTATGCGGCAGTCCTGTGGGCGAAAATGCCTTGTTGATGCTAGAGGTCAGAGGAGAATGGGCCGACTGATTCAAGCTGATAGAAGTGCAACTTTGACTGAAATAACCACATTTGTTACAACCGAGGTATGCAGCAAAACCTTGAGGCGGATGGGCTACAACAGCAGAAGACCCCATCGGGTACCACTCATCTCCACTACAAATAGGAAAAAGAGGCTACAATTGGCAAGAGCTCACCAAAATTGGACAGTTGAAGACTGGAAAAATGTTGCCTGGTCTGATGAGTCTCGATTTCTGTTGAGACATTCAGATGGTAGAGTCAGAATTTGGCGTAAACAGAATGAGAACATGGATCCATCATGCCTTGTTACCACTGTGCAGGCTGGTGGTGGTGTAATGGTGTGGGGGATGTTTTCTTGGCACACTTTAGGCCCCTTAGTGCCAATTGGGCATCGTTTAAATGCCACGGCCTACCTGAGCATTGTTTCTGACCATGTCCATCCCTTTATGGCCACCATGTACCCATCCTCTGATGGCTACTTCCAGCAGGATAATGCACCATGTCACAAAGCTCGAATCATTTCAAATTGGTTTCTTGAACATGACAATGAGTTCACTGTACTAAAATGGCCCCCACAGTCACCAGATCTCAACCCAATAGAGCATCTTTGGGATGTTTATTTATTTAGTTTATTTGATAGGGACCATGCGTATTCATGAACATTGTTGTAGAAAACTACACCATGTAAATACGCCAGAATTAGTAAACAGATACTAGTTTTCATCTGCAGTCCCTAGGCCGGTAGCAAAAACAAATAAATAAAATAACAACAGTCATACAGCATTCATTCACTATAACAACATACACAAATAAAAATACATTGATATTACAGACAGCGTATAGATAAAAACAAGATGTACATAAAAACACAAACATTATACAATCACCACTATACTACAATTAATTTTAACCACGATAGTTTATGGCTTATATAAGTATGATAGTTAAATATGAGTGCATCTCTGGTTCTCTATGAGCCACTTTTTCAAGTGAGTTTTGAAGGTGTCAAAAGTAGGACACTCTCGTATCGAAAGGGGCAAATTATTCCAGAGTTTACCACCTATTATTGATAATACATTTTGTCCAAAGGTGGTACGTCTAAATGGTATCATGCAGTCCCCTTTTGCAGAGGCCCGTGTACTACCTCCACATGCAAGTTTTTGAAAGAAGACATGCAGCGGAGGCGGAGCAAGATTGTTTAACACTTTATAAACCAGACAAACATACTTGAAATTTTTTAGATTGTCGAAACTTAGAAAATTATGTCTCGCTAGGATATCACAATGGTGAAATGACAAAGCTTTTTTATCAAAATTTTTTATGGCTTTCTTAAAAAGAGATTTAATATTTTTAAGCGTAGATATACTAGTTAATGACCAATTTAAAAAACAGTACTCAATATGAGAAAAAATCATAGTATATAAGAACAACTTCGCAGCTTTGGTATTAAGGAATGGCCTAACTTGTTTAAAATTCTGCAAACTGTATTTAACTTTATTTGCCACCTTTTTTACATGACATTTAAAGGTTAAAGTGGAGTCATAAATAACTCCTAAATACTTAAATTCATTAACAATGTCAAGCTCCTGTCCTCTGAAGAATACATTAGAATTTAACACCTTCATGCTTTGTTTGGTAAACGCCATACAAACAGTTTTTTTAGTATTTAGATGGAGACATGACTTAGTGAGCCAGTCATCAATGTGAGCCATTGCTGATGTGAGTGTGGATGCTATCTCCAGATAGTTCTTACCATGTGTGAATATTACGGCATCATCTGCGTACAACTGGACATCAACATTTTTACATGCCTCTGGCAGGTCATTTATATAAAGTGTAAATAAAATCGGACCAAGTATGGAGCCTTGAGGGACCCCTGCAGGACATTTGCATAAAGGGGACGTTGCATCATTAATACGAACACATTGCTTTCTACATGACAAGTATGATTTTATCCAGTTGAGAGCTTGCTCAGAGAAATTAAAATATGTTAATTTAGATAAAAGAACTTCATGATTAACAGTATCAAAAGCTCGCTTTAAGTCTAAAAAAACAGCACCGACGCAAGAACTCTTATCTAAGTAACCTTTAACCTTTTCCAGAAACAAACAATTGGCTGTTTCTGTTGAGTGATGGGCCCTGAAGCCAAATTGCAAGGGATGGAGTGAGTTTTCGCTTTTATTGAGATGTTGGATCAATAAATTGGCCACCCATTTTTCAAGTATTTTAGAAACAACAGGTAAAATACTGATAGGCCGATAATTGTCCATGACTGATCTTTCCCCTGATTTAAAAATAGGTGTGACCAGTGCCAACTTCCATGCTGAAGGCATGATGGATTGACTTAAGGACTGATTAATCAGATGTGTAATAGGCTGAATAAGAACCTCTTTATGCCTTTTTAAAAAACATGTATCAAGGCCATAGATATCCATGGCCTTCGAAATTTTTAAACTATTAATAATCTTTGATACTTCTAATTTAGTTATTTGTTGTAGATGAAAAATCGGCTGTGCATAATTAATGGAGCAAACAGAGTAGCTAAGTGGATTAAAAAGTTGAGTTATTTCATAAACAGAATCTAAAAAAAAAGTATTTAGTTCAGAGGCTATGATGGTTGGGTCTGTAACTAGTTCATTGTTAATTTCCAACTCTAAATCTCTATTTTTAAAATTCTGTTTTCTGCCAATCAACTTATTTATGGTTTGCCATATCTTCTTCCCATTTCCTCCAGCCTCTTTAATAGTATCAATGAAAAATTTGGCTTTAGCTTGACGCAGAGTTTTTATTACTTTATTTCTTAATGAAGTAAATTTCTGTCGGTCAGTTGTAAGACCTGATTTTAAGGATTGTTTCAATAATTGATCTCTTTCATTCATAAGTTTCCCACATCCTTCATTGAGCCAGGGCAATGTGTCCCTGTTTAACTTATGACTCCGCTTTCTGAGGTAGGGCCCCATGACTTTCTTAATTGTTGTAGCAAATTGGTCACAGTCACTCTCCAGATCCCCTTTAGAGAGGACTCGGTTCCATTCAATCTCTCCTAATGCTACCCCAAGGTTTTCCTGTTGACCAGTTGGGACTGATTCATATTTACATAATGTTTTGACTGAGGAAAGACAACGATTTTTTTTTAGCTTTCTGGCACAAAAAATAATATTATGATCTGACATTCCTGTCATTAGATTAAGGGTTTTAGAAATGCGTTCTGGTCTATTAGTGAACAATAAATCTATTTTAGTTTCAGACCGATTAGTTATCCTTGTAGGTTGTTCAATTAACTGTGTAAGATTAAAATAGTCTGTAATATTTTTTAACTTCTTTCTTCCACCCTTATCACTCCAATTGACATTAAAATCCCCCATCAGTATAACCTCTTTGTTAAAATTCAAACTATGGAGGAGACTTTTTAACTGATCATAAAACTCAAGCTTTGCTGATGGCTTTCGATATAAGCAGATTAAACTAAATGTCATTTCGACTGAAAGTGAAATGTTAACACCAACACATTCAATATCAGGTTTCTTGATCCATTCAATTTGTTTACATTTTATAGTACTTTTCACATATAATAAAACTCCCCCTCCCTTCCCATGATCTCTATCTTTCCTAAAAACATCATAACCTGGCATGACAATAAGTGCCTCCGGCGATGAACGAGTTAACCAAGTCTCTGACAATCCAAGAAAATCAATATTTGAATTTACAAGCAAGTTTTCCAGTTGTTCGCGTTTATTTGCCACACTCCTAATATTTAGATGTCCGCCAAACAACCCTTTAGCTTTACATCGAGGATCCCACACAGTTCGAGCCTGATTAAGCGTTCGGAAGAACTTTGTGGTGCAATGTTTTTTCATCACGGGATTCCTAGATCTAGTTGAAGGCATAGTCAATGTTAGACCTTCATCATCACGGTCCGGTATGTTTCGGGACTCACCAATGGGGATACCAATATCCCGTTCTTGCAACGAGATGACCTCTTTTACACTGCCACTGAAGTCCGTCGAGCCAGACTCAACCCCCAGTTGCAAACGCTCCTGGCCAGTAGTCAACGCCACCCCAGAAGACCCCATCACAGCCCGTAGCCCTTCGCCGGTGACCACCGACGGCGCCGTCCAAGCGAATCCTGCTGAACAGCCGCCAGCAAAGGCCCCCAAACGCGCGACCGGCATAGACAACCACGCCAATACCGGAGGTGGGTAAAAACAGACAGGGACAAATAGGGACTGACCCGGTAGCGCCAGGGAAATATTGGGCAGTGGTAGCCCAGGTCTTGCATTGGCTACAAGCAGGTTGTTGAGGAGAGTTGTAAACAGGGCACATTGAAAAGCGCCGATTTCTGTTAGTTGCGGTCCAGGATTGCGCTCAACATCTCCAGCAATAAGTAACAATACGGCGAGTTGAACGAGCCCATGGCGTGGGTTAGACAGCTTTTCACATGATATAGAAGACATCTTTGGCTTTGGATTTGGACCTCCATTAACGTTGAATTTGGAGTACAGCAGTTGCTGGCTGCTGCCAACACGGGCGTTTTCTTTATTAAAGCGATGCCGCACAGACAGCAACAACAGCGCCACAATGTATAAAACTATAATCCAATGATGTAGTGAAAATGTGGACTTTGATGGTTTAAACAAACAACACGCAGCACCAGCCAAGCTGCATGCGTGCACGTCCGAGTCCGCCATTTTGGTCTACTCCTATTGTGGTGGAACGGGAGCTTCGTGCCCTGGATGTGCATCCCACAAATCTCCATCAACTGCAAGATGCTATCCTATCAATATGGGCCAACATTTCTAAAGAATGCTTTCAGCACCTTGTTGAATCAATGCCACGTAGAATTAAGGCAGTTCTGAAGGCGAAAGGGGGTCAAACACAGTATTAGTATGGTGTTCCTAATAATCCTTTAGGTGAGTGTATAATCAGTTATTTCTAGAAATAGAAATGGCCTCTTAAAATAGAAATAGCAGTAGCAAATTTATCGCAAAAACACATTCAGTTAGCCTGGCTAACGTCAGACCACGTCTCATTGACATTGAGACGTGGTCTGGGAACCACATGTTCATTTTCTCGTATTTGAGGCGTGGTTTACGAATGCCCAGAGCCGTTTATTGGGTGCTACGAATGTCTATCAAATGCGCCTGTACGTAGCTCATAGCCAATCGTTTCAATTATACCAGATGACGTATGTAGAGCGAAAGAAATTAGACGAGGAAGACGACGATGGGTCAGAGATTTATTTGCGTTCTAAACTACTTAGAACAATATCTAAGGCTGCATCGAAAGGTAACTTCACGTCTGCTGCCATGTTTGATCCATAGGTATAAACAAACTGCTTCGGTGTGTCGCAGACTCGCATAGACGTCTTGCTGCTCCCTCCCCGTTCTGTGATTGGTCCACTCGCTGAGGCGAAATTTTGGTCCATGGTATCCAGACTGCCTAGCAGCGTGAATAAAATCGCGCTGCGCAAAGGCAGTATGGGGAAACCCAGGCTACATTTCAGTCAAAACGCTTCACAAAATTAGGGTTTAAAGATATGAAACGTCTCGGTTGCGTCTCGGTTACGTTACGTCAGATGTGATCTGACGAATTGGGATTTGCATCTCGTATAAATACGGAAGCGGATGAATAGCATATTCAGGTATTAGCTGAGGATGAGCCTATGAAGGGACCAGCCAGGAGTGAATACCAGCAAAGTCCCTGATAATCTGGAACAGAGAGCAATGATTTCCATGTGAAGGAGTACCTGGCCGACATATGTTTCCCAGCAGGGATCTAGCTGTGATCTGGTGTTGTACTCATAGAGGACGGTCTGGTTTAGCAGGGACTGCATTCTTAGTGGCTCTCTGGAGGATGTGGTGCTCTTGATAGTGGTCACACTGTTGTTGAGGTCCAGAAGAGTCATGTTCAGCATGCTGTTCCGTCGCTCCACGATATCCGGGACAATCGTGGACAGGTTCTCCTCAGTAGGCTGGGAAATGGTCGCTAGGTATGATGTTGAGTCAGACAGGTTTACTGTACCCACAGTAATCTGGAATGATTCAAAACGTGTACGATTTACGTAACTTTTTTATGTCACATTTAATTTTTCTGACTAAAGAATGGTAAATATCTGAATAATATTTTCATTGCACAGAAGAAAAATGCTTTGATGTTGAATGTTTATTATATACAATAGTGGGCAAAAGTGATGGCCGGGGAGATATTTGTTTTTAATGTCCCTGCATGTACGATTAAACCATCAAAATATGAGGAAAACATTTTCTATATATTTTTTTTTTTATATTTTAAATATGAAGGAAGAACAAAAAACACTACACTTGGTTAAGGTATTTAACTGACAAAATTATTTGGCAAAATAGGCAAACTACAGCTACAGGGTTTATTTTACTAAGCGGGAAAAAAACCTAATAGAAAAGCAAAACAAAAAGCTCATAGCAAAAAGCACTGACAACAACATAATCAGTTATTAATATTTTGTTGGTTCTCTCTTGTTTTTGCATATGTTCGTAATTTCTTTGTATGACAGCCTGGCATTAATTTATGTCTGCACAATTTGGCATGTTTTATTGCATTGCACAAATAAAACAACTGACTCCAAGCACAACTATGCAAATTGCTTACAAAATCTTTAACACATTTTTAATATTATTTGAATAAAGGGTGAAGATGTCAATATTGCTAGGCAGGACATCATTTTTGGTGACTACTTTATTTTCTGCTGAGCAATAAATCAACAGTAATCTGCATGATTAAAAAAAAAAAAAAATCTAATAAAAAATAATAATAATAATTATTACTACTAAATACATATATTAGACAAAATAAGAATTATATTGCAATATTTTGGTTTATTATATTATTTCTTTATTTTTAAAGAAAATAATATATTAAAGAAAAACATAATAATAATTTTAATTATTATTATATTGTACAGCACAACTGTAAAATTACAATATTAATAGCTGTCTTAATTTCTTTATTTTCAAACGTTAAACCATTGAGCTTTTATTTTGACAGAAACTCGCTTCTCAAAAGTTTCCAAGCTTGGGCAGATGATTGACGAATGTTGCATTCCCATATGCACGTTATAAGCAACCCAAACTCAGAGCAGATGCTGAGTTCATGTTCAACCAAGCTGCTCTGAGACTGAAACCACTGGATCAGGAGTTGCTTGTGTGTAAAACAACAGAGTGCCGCAATTCACTCTGGGGAAAAAAAAAACAGCGCCTATGTTTATTTAATTAAATCGCTTTATCGCAATTTGATAATCGCACTAAGCCATATCGCGGTTTCGGTTTTATTTTGATCAGTTGTGCAGCCTCAGAGAAAAGGTTGAGGATTAAATAAGAATATAATTGTGACTCACAGCAGAGCTCATACTGTTGACTTTATCCAGCAGGGCAATAATCAAACTGTAGAGGTTTCCAAGGTACAACACCAGAACTCTAAACAAAAAAGGCACATTTCTCTTTTAATAAACAAAACCAGAGCAATAACAGTGTTCAAACAGTGATGTTCTTACCTGGCAAGCTGGAAGCGGAGACTTGTTCTGGGGTGGTACATCTCCAACTGGGACACTAGCTCAAAGGCTGAAGGAGCAATCATTGTGATGAGGGACACCACCACACTCACCTGATGAAGAAACCCAATTCACATCATTCATCTTGCTCAAATACACACCACATAAACACTAATACTAGATCAAATATCTGAAGCAAGACGCAAGAACAATTAAATCGAATTATAAAATAAATTATGAAAACAATAACAATATGTAGAAGAAAAGTCAAAGTAGAAGAATTAATTAAGAATCAATAAACAATAATAATAAAAATAACAAAAAATGTGTTGAATAATTGAATAATTAAATAATAATAATGAGATGAAGAAAATAAGATGAATAAGAAAAAAATTATCATTAAATAATATGAAGAAGAAAAGTCGAATAAGTAGACGAATTAAAAAAAGAATTAACCAAATAATAATAATAAAAAATGTGGTGAATAATTAAATAATAATAATAATAATAATGAGATGAAGAAAAAAATAATAAAGAAGAAAAATAAAAGTAGTCCTTTTTTGCATTATATCTATGTGTACTGAAGTACATTTGTATAAAACATAACGTACTTCGTTCTTCTCCCAGAGTGTTAGCTCAGGTTTCTCTTGCTCTAGTTTCTGAGAACGATCCACCACAAAATAGATGATGTAGATGCTGCCGGCCAATGACAGCAGCACGAGAATGTTTGCCAGAATCCGCAAACTGATCAGTACGGCTCTGTTGGGATAGAAGCTGAACTTAATGAGAAAACAATACAGTCAGATATGCCTTTAAACAACTGTCTATGTTCTATAATGAACCTCTACTTACAAAGAAAAATAAATAATCTAGACCTTTTGCAGGGGTGATCAGTATCCTGTATCTTCATGATAGGGATTTATGTTGTGATGATGAATGAATGACTATACATAAACACACTTACACAGTTCCATTCTAATAAATGGAAATTAACTATTGATTACTGACTTACAATTATTTTATGTAGGAAGAAAGAGGACAAAGAGTAATGCGAGAAACCTGAAACTAGCACAAAACTACGTAGGTAATTGAGTGACAGGAAAATGTCAATTATACAGTTTAGGGCTATTATACAAAAATATTTGCATCATGCTGTTATTGACCAATCAGAAACAAATATTATTAGGGTTGGGTATTGTTTGAATTTGGAAGATTCCGATTCAGCTTTTCGATTCCGATTCTTATAGATTCCTAATTTCAATTTCAATAAGGTAAAAAAAAACAACATCTTAGATATCATTCACATTTATTCTAAGTCGTATTGTAAAACATGTCTTGTAGCTGAATATAATGAACAAATATTAACAGGCTAAATAACACGTACACAAGGAACTTTTGCCTATAGTTTAAAAATACCACAAACAACTAGCCTAACTAATAGAAATTTCAAGCATTAATAAAGACAAGTAAACACTCAGTAATTTAAAAAGAACAAATAAAAAATTAGCAATCGCTCAAATAAATACAACTGAGCAAAGATACAATTGAAAAAAAGTGTTTTAAGATTTTCAGGTACAGAAACTGTAAACAAATGTAAAATAACACTGCATTTTATGAATAAAGTATACATTACAAATATAGTTACAGAGGTTATTCAGTTAAGAACAGAGCCTGAATTTTCTCTTTGTCTTTTGATGTTTGATTAATGTTATTATAGAGATGACAGGAGGGATATTAGGCTGCTGTCACTTTAAGAGCTGCACGGACCCAATATACTGTTACACATGTGAACAACGTGTCGTCTTCTTGCGTCTTGAATGGTTTAAAAACACATTTTAACTTTTTAAATGCACGCTTTGGATGTGTGCGCTTGAATGGTTTAAAATCACCTTTTTAAATTAAATGACCTTTTCTGCGCTTTGGATGTGTGTGAAGCACAGAAAACTGCGTGCGGGTCTTGCGCATGATTTAAAATCATATTAAAATGCACAAAGGAATCGATTAGAGGAATATAAAGTTTTATTTTATAACATATCCAATTCCTGACCTTAAGTATTCGATTCCAGAATTGGAATGAGAAGCACAGAAAAAAGTGTGCAACTTTTGCGCTTGAATGGTTCAAAATCGAAATGCACTCACAGGAACCGATAAGCCAGCCTGTTCTCACGTAAATGCGTCTTTATAGCACGCATTGTGTATTATCGTGCAATTTATACGCGAAAATGAGTTTACGTGCATATGATACGCAGTTTTCGCGTGCATTTGATACGCAGTTCATTTGCGTGTAATACACACGCACCCAACACCACTAATTCTACCCAAACGTATAATACACACGCACCCCACACCACTACTAAACCTACCCTAACCAACCCATGCGTATCCTATGCACGTAAAAAATCATTTTCGCGTATAAATTACACGATAAACACACTGCGTGCTATAGAGACGCATTTAGTGTGATCAGGTTGGATAAGCGTAATCGAAATGCGCGTTTCTTATCGAATCACCGGTTCTTGGACGTTTGGAACCAGTTCTTAAATGGAACCGTGATCTCGATACCCATCCCTATATATTATAGAGAGATGAGTAATAAGAAAAAACACTAATGTGTAGTCAATGTGCAGTTTCTATTGCCAGTGACCAATAAACCCCCAAAAATACTTTAATAAAAGTTCTTCTGACACCAAGTTTCTGATTTACGAGGTTATAAACATGGTAAAAGCGACAGAATACATGCTTAAGAGAATTTCAAGCTTCATAACAGGGTTTATTTCCCCTAAATCAGCATTGGCTGAACACTGCAAGCACAGCATCAATAAACAATCCCTTTCTGACTTGACGCACTTCATTTCCCAGTTTGCCTGACAAGTTTTATCACAGACAAAAGCAAGTGAGTAATAGGCAAGTACTTCAGAAATGTTCTGTCATCATATTCAAAACTCCACAGAGATATATAAGAAAGTCATCTATACAAATATCTCATGAAACCTGTCAAGAACATGTCTGGGTTATATTTCACATTATTTAATTTGTAGAGTATGCATTCTTTAAAAATTATCATTAAAATAATAACCCCATATTACAGTTAACATTTTTAATTAAAAAATACTGTATTAAATTAATGATAATTGCAAAACACCGTCTGAGCACATTGTAGTAATGAGAATACATTGAGCAAATGTGCCTAATTGTCCTGAAACTAATGTCATAAAGCAAAATAAATAAACAAAATAATGAATGGCTTCAAAATTAGGCTTCATTTTTTTTTTCTCAATTTGTTTCTGGGGTGAAATGTGTCTTTAGCTGTGATAATCTAGAGATACTGTACAAATGTTAGCATAACCCTGTGTGCATGGGTGTCGCATTCCAGCAATATAATAATCGGCTTAAATGTGTGAGCAGGTCTGATGGCAATTTAGGTGCAGTCATCCGCCTGCAGTAAAAGGCTGTTTGTATAAAATATGGCGGGGTGTTCTCCGTTTCGCATGTTCTGCTGCGATTGCATTGGAACAGGGAGGAGATGTATAAATCAAAGCTGTCTGAGGCAGCATTACAAGAGCCGTGACAACAGCCCCAGATAGAGAGGAACAGCACATCGCTGTAAGTCACTTACTGATACCATCATTCCCACCCTCAAAAGCCCGTTTTGTTAAACATGCACTTCTGAGAAACTTTGGAGAAAACACTTAGTCAGCACTTAGCGTTTTGTTGAGGTGATAATGGAAACACAGATAAAGAGGAAAACTTGCAAGCTTGTTTCTTTCTTCTTCTCTTGCTCTTCTACAATGGCCTCCTAAAAAAAGGAATAAAACATTTTTGGCAAAGATAATCCAAAACCTAAGAAACATTAATCATAATGTATGCCAAATAGGTACTGTAATTACTGTTACTTCAATAAATTGTGGTAATTTGGTACCGTCATAAAAAAAAAAAGGAAAATGATAATGATTTTTTAAAACAGTCAACCAATATGATAACAGTATCTAGAAAAGAGGACAGCCGATGGTCAATATAATACCTACAGTATATTATACAGTTCAATGATCTAATTAAATTAAATTGAACATTTTACTTTAATTAAATTAATATTTGCTCTCAAATTTGACAAAAATATTTCAAAGAAAAAACGTTTACTATGATGGGTAGACCTAAAAACTGGCACAGTTACTGGCCAATGCGCAAAATGGCCCAATCTTTACCTGACTAATATATTGCTGTCATTATGGGAACTATGATTATCAAAAAACATGCAACATTTGTATTGAAACTGAACGATATTCCAAAGAAATATCTGGAATTTAGCATGATACTGATGAGACTCAAATAACATGTTTTCCTTGGGAAATCAGCACTAATAATGAAACATAAACCTCCCTTAACTGAATTAAAACTGGATGATCATTGAGAATTGAATCAAGGACAGATTGTTTATTTCAGTCTGTTGGATGTAGAAAACGCTCACTCTGATGCTATTGACGATGGCTGCTCCTTTACTCTCGGCCGCCTCTGGGTTCCCAATCAGGTAGTCCCACGCACAGAAGACACGCCAGCAGAAAGTGAAATTCTCATCGGAGGTGCCGGCTAAACTCGTGCGGGAGTTTTTAGCCATTCTGATAGAAAACAGCATATGAAGTTGAATTATGGAACTAGTAAGCAGCTACTTTTCCAAGGAACACAAAAAGAGCTTTTCCTAAAGAATTTCCATGCAGGTATTTTGCATATCAGAGTTTATAATGACCATGACTGCATAAAAATTAACCACATGGCCTTAAATTACTTAAAAACATTGTAAATGTAATCCAGGTCAACCAGATCTTTGGTAAACCAGCTTCAACAGAAAGTCCACACCTTGATTAGTTAAAAGTCATGGCTTCGATTCTCAGGGAATGCATGAACTGAAAACACGTACAGCTTGAATGTGCTGCAAGTCTCGTTTGGACCAAATGCATAAATGTGAATGTAAGTTAATCAGTGATTTCAAGCAAAGCAACTTTGTAGTGGTGATTACTTTCTTAACAAAGTGAAGAAGCTGTAGGCAAAAACGGCCATCCCGACCATAAAATAGGCCAAGGGTAGTCTGTAGCCAGCGCTGCCGATTTTACGCACATTGCCATAGTAGCCGTAAAAAAGTACAGAGTATTGTAGATATCCCTGCAACACAGACATAGAAAAAAACACACAAAGTGGCAGATTGCAAAGCACAAATAAATGATTTGTGATTAAATCCCTAAATTACGCTGGAAATATGTCCAGCACATTGGTAAAGCAGTACAAAAAAAGAGATAATAATCTTGCCCCCAATGACCAGATGGTGTCCAGGTCTTGTGCGGAGGAAAGGTGATCCTTGGGAATGGTCTTGCTGCGGGTGGTCCCAAATGGAGCGCCAGCCAGGAGCTGATTGGACAGATTGGAAAGACAGAGGGAATGATAGAGGACAAGAGATCATACCTGAGCAGAAATTGCTTTGTGTCTCTGCACTGGGAGTGAAATAAATCTAACCATATTTTCCATTTCCAGGTCTAAAAATGGCCTTGTGGAGTTTCAATAAAAGATGTTGTCTACAAATAATGTATGAACCCACAGCAGCATTTAAATATCTGTGCATGCTTTCTGAAATAATAATAAAGGAGAATAATGTCATGTATAACGCTTAAAGGCCAATTCGCACTGCACCGACAGATGCTGACCAACGCTATAAGACATTTGGTTGGGTTTTGTAGGATCAGTGTGTTAACCCATTGGTTGGCGTGGTCGGCACTTGTTTTCACCAACTGAACAATTGTTGTTTGTTGGGTTGTGAAATGTCTGAGAAGTGATGTACTGTAATCTGCTGAGTGTCTGCGTCTGTAGGTCGGTTTGCAAAATTAAAAAGCACAAAGTCCACGAGAGTTATACTCTATATTAGTAAGCACTGTTTCTGAACCCCCTGAAACACCTCTATTGTAGCTTTGAGTTTTCTTCCAGGAACGTACAGTACGTCACATTATTCCTCATTTAAATAAGTCCTGTCCAAGACATACGCAAAAAAAGGGGCGAGGCCTGGTTGATTTGCGTTAGTAGTGTATTGAAACTCGTTGTTATGGTAAGGGGCGTGACATTTCTAAAACACACTTGAACATTATAACCTCCTTAACGTTTGTCTGTGCGCTGCAAATTTTACAGCTTCCAGAAGAGAGTACAAAGCAGGCTATACACACAAAAACTTCTCCTGAAAGATGTAGCCATTGCCATTTTGTCAAGACAATCTGGTGTTTATGGATCACAACTTATAAGTATGTCTTATTATTTGTAGTTGTGTTTTCTATTAACAGTTCCAATTATAAACTGTATGTAGTTTCTATGATAGTTATGATTGAAACGAAGGGCAAAGCTTCGCCTCCGCTAGCCTGCTAACTAACATTGCAGTATTGATGTAGTGTTTACTTTAGCTTTTGTAAGCTCATTTCCCGAACACGCGCTAAGCGCTGCCAATCACAACAAACTGGGCCAGCTAACCAATCACAGCACATTTCGTATTTCGGAAGGAGGGGCTTCGTTCGAAAACAACACGTTTTCCCAGAGAGAGGAGCTGTAATAATGTAAAATATGTTAAAAATAATGTGTTTTTTGAACAATCAAGCATGAAAACACATTCTAGTACACCCCAAAAACAAAATCAAGACTTCGTAAAAGGGCATAATAGGACCACTTTAAAAGATCATTTTGGTAATGAAGATTTCCATGACACTTTAATTTATAAATATTTATATCAGAACATATAGCTTATTAATTACTTTTAAGAATGAATGCAGTGCATACAAACCTCAGGCAGCACGATAAAGGCTCCAGTCATAATAGTGAGAACTATATTGATCCCAAACAGCCATCGTAGGAATATGAAGTAAGAGGCCACTCCTGATCCAAAATGACCTTCAAAAACAACATACTGTTTAGTGCACATTTAATGCAGTATGGAGTTATTTCTACTTGATCTGACCCTTAAAATACTTACAGCTGTAAGGGTTATATTGTTACAGTCTAATTACATTTTTGACGTTAATCACACTATTTAATCTAGATAGTTTCCACAGGGATGTACATTTTAGGTTACCTGACAAAGTATATTTTTTTACAGTGAATATGCATAAGGCCTAATATATTTCCAATATTAGAACTATTTTATCATTCACATAAGTTATGTGATCAAATAATATTGTTTTTTCCTTACGCCTTGCAATATGAGGATAACACATTAATATTTATATCTGCAGACAAATTAAACATTCTGTTTGTCAGGATACTAACTTTCAATCTTTTTAATCCTCATCTCCCAGGGAATGAACAGAACAACAATGTTGTAGAGGACTCTTGATATCTTTTTCAGCAACTGCAAACAAACATTTATGATCACATGAGAACAAATACAACAGTTAGATAAAATGATAACATAAGCAAATGTTAGATTAGGATAGTTTGCAGACAGATGAATCCACAAGTAAATAAAGATTCAATGCTGAAAGACCTGTGAGACCCGAGTTCTCATGTATAAGGATAGTGAGATCATAATTTGTTAAATCAATGTGTACGGATATCTGATTTTCAATCTGCAATAAAAAGCCATCATCAGAATTAATAATTCACCATCAAATCCACTTGCTAAGAAGTCAATTAATTTTAATGGTGCTTGGGCAGCCTTGGCGAATGCCATTGGACATTTTAATTAAACCAGGCTATAACAACAGGCCATAAATTTGAGTGCAGCGTCTGTGAGCAGATGAGGAGCACCGCTGAACCAGAGACATGCAGAACCTTAACCGGAATCTCACAAACACACAGCTGATGAAAAAAACTGAAAGAAAAAAATGAGAGAAGCTATAACATGAAAAAGACAAAAGCAGTTTAGACAGATAGACAGACAGATAGTAGGGGTGTAACGATACACGTATTCGTATTGAACCGTTCGGTACGAGGCTTTCGGTTCGGTACACATTTCCAACCGAACGATTCGTTGCACCATTTTTCCTGCCGACCAAAATTTTGTTAGCATTCGCGCTGGCGTGACCACCACAACGTTGCCCAACATCAACTGCACAACTCATTTGTGCTTAACGGACCGTTTTGAGTTCGGACCAATGTCAGTGCAACACGAGCCAATCTTGATCAAGCAACACTTACTACACAGTGCTAAGAGATCCAGTAAAGAAAGCATTTGAATTCGCCACGGAAGTAACGTTAATAACATCGCTGCGAGATCTAGTGAGAAGCATTCAAATTTCTCTGTCATTATTTCGACATTATGAATAAAATTGCTGCCCTCAAATGTTAATCTGGAGCCTTGCAAACTTAAAATAAACCTGAAATAAAATAAACCTGTGTTTATAACTAGGACTATTTTTTATAAGGAGCTGTTTTTTGTTTTATATGCTGATTATGTTTCATATAGAGTCAAGTATAGCTCCATCATTGTTCAAATTTCAAAAAGATCATAGTTTATGATGTTAGTTTTAATAAATAAAGAAAAATTAAACAATCAAGGAAATTTATCTGCCATTTCTTTCTTTTTGCTGTATCGAAAACATACCGAACCGTCTCACCACTGTATCGTATCGAACCGAACCGTGAATTTTGTGAACTGTTACTAACCCTAATAGATAGATAGACTTACAGAAAGACAGACAGATAGCAATACTTGCCTTAGCAAACACCATGAATAATGCAGTAAGCAACATGCACAACTTGTGTTAAAAATTGTTAATGAACAAATTCTGTAGATAAATGGTTGCATAAAACTTACATCTGCCCCGGCTGCCTGGTAACCTCGTGTCCTGGTCAGTCTGCCCTCATACTTCAGAACAATCTCTCTGGCTTGCCTAAAACACACACAAACAAATACACTGAGCTTTAGCGATCTACACCATATCCTGCTATGGACTGACAGCTGTGGTTAGTGTGTTCCTGTTGTGTTAACATGAACACAAACACACTCTTTTATTAATGTTTGCCTTTCATCGATGTTTTTCCCATTAAAAGTGGCACTTCATTGGTTTCTTTATTAATAAAAATGAAAAACAAACCAACAAAAAAGAAAAGAAAAAGAAAAAAAAGCCATAAATTCAATGGCAACATAATAGAAACATCAAAACAAATACAGATTGAAAATTGATTTTGGGGGGTACTTTCTTCAGAAGGTGGGTGTATGCAATCATGGGCACTCACCCAAAGATGATGAGGACACTCGTAAAATGTAGCATGTATCTCTTCCATGAACCATCAGGCATAAACCTGCCAGTTATTGTAAGTAACTTCAAAGATAAATGTGCTAATAAAATTCTTGGTTGGATAATCAGATTTTTTTTTGATATTAGGGTGGACGCAAACGTTCAGAACCTCTGAAATAAATAAATAATAAAAGCGTTACGTTGGTAACTGACATTTGGAAATTTGATGTCCTGTGCTGTATAACATGCACTACTCCATTCCATCTAAAGCTATTTTAAACATTTTTATTTATACCAACATGGTAAACATTTTATAAAACAACCATACAAGTATCTGTATTGCATTTTACGGTATTTTGGCATGGCTTTGCCAGATGCATAGACTTTACCAGAAATAACCACTATGTGCTCTTGCTGTAACATTTGCGCATCCTTGACCCCCGCCCAAAGAAGCCTCAGTGATCGGTACCCAGTAAAATGAGAAACTGCTGGTTAGGCTAATGAAACAATTACTCAGCCAATTTAGATTGTTCTCCAGGCATCATGTTGTAAATATGGTGGCCGCTTTCAAGCAATGAAAGTTAATTGTTATTTACCTTACGGGTTTAATGCACAGATGCTTTCCTTAGCCATTATCATCAGTTTCAAACATTTGGAAATATCGTTTCTAAGTAGACTAATGGCTGTAATGGAGTCAAATAATAAACTTAATGAGAAATAATGCTTATTTCTTTTCATTATTCCTCCTTATGTATCGAGCATCACAGGCTTTCCTGCAGTCATGTCAACTGCTGTATAAACATTGGCCTCAGCTCAAAAATACCTTTACAGCACATTATACTGTATATCAAGAGCTTGAAACATTCTACGCCCACTTTTTGGCCTTATAAATGCTGAACTTATAAATATTTGATCCTTTATATCTTGTGCTATTTAAAATGTCCCACTAGAGAACAATACAACTTTAAGATCTGTAATGATTTTAATACATGATTAAATTCGGATGACATTTTCTTAACATATAGTTGGCGGGGTCTTACTTTAGTACTTTTAGCTTGCGTCTTATTGGCCAGGGTTTGGTTTGGATGTTGGCGATGATTTCCTTCTGAAGCTGAATGTTCTGGAACATCTCCTCTGGATCATTACTCTCCACTCTCTCTCCATCCTTATCTTCATCATCAGATGGTCTGAAACACAACCAAAGATCAATAATCACTTTAATTAATCTTACAGTAACATAGTAACATTTGCAGCACATAATAAAACGGTTGCTTTATATGGTATGACAAAATGACATGTTCTTATCTTATTTGTAATATTTCATATTATAATTATAAAATGACATTATTATTAAAGTAAAGTATTACACTTTAAAAAAAAAAAAAATAATGGTAAAATGTCAAATTAATTAATTTTATTTGATAGCGCAAATTAGGTAAACACACACTTTGGAGGATGAAGGTGAAATGGATTCATAACTCTCCAACTGTATATACATAGTATATATAACCTGTTTATGTTGTATGTAGTTATATCTATAAAATTATGATCAAAGTCACTTAATTTTTATTTTCTCTAGTGTGCGTGCTTAGTGCCCACATAAATCATAAATGTATGTGAAGAAATGTGCACTGCATATACAAAGCAACATGCGATGTGCATCATTTTAATTCCTTGTTTTATGGAAATCGAGACTCAAAATTATGAAAACATTATGGTATACAAGAATTTATACAGATGAATTTATATAAATTCTTAAAAATGTATATAAATATAGTTTTTGTACCACCACGTTTAGAAACTTTACTTTTAAAAGAAATATCAGGCTCTGTTCCACTGCAAAGCATGAATATTCATAATAAAGACTGAATTATTTAGTCTACAAGTGTCATGTGTGAAATAAGCCAATGCAATTTACAGTAAAAAGCCAACTTACCCATTATCGTCCTGATACGAGGAATAAATCCTTCTGGAATTTTTTCTTATGCTCTTGTGCCGCTTGGAGGATATCAGGGGTCTGGTTATTGTTGCTGGTTCTGCCATTTCACTCATTTCCCAGTGTTAAAACTTTCTGCAGTCTTCAGTGAGCATGTGTCCCATCTGTAGGAGTTCTCCCGTGCCGGTGTTGCTGATGGGACTCAGGGGGGGTGGGGACAGGAACGAGGAGTGATACCTGCCCGATTGGGTCCTGCTGAAGTGCTGCATAAGCCCCTCCACGAGAGGAGTTTAAGCTCAGACAATCACTCCAATGACAGCTGTACTGGCTTCTTAAAGGGACAGCGCAAGAACTGCAACCTGGTGATGAATGCATGCTTCTGTGCAAAGTGATTCAAACAAGAGAATAGATATAAATACTATTCTGAGACCTTTCTCTCTCTCTCTCTCTCTCTCTCTCTCTCTCTCTCTCTCTCTCTCTCTCTATATATATATATATATATATATATATATATATATATATACACTACCGTTCAAAAGTTTGGGGTCGGTACGATTTTAAATACTTTTAAAATAATTCTCTTCTGCTAACCATGGCTGCGCTTATTTGATTAAAAATACAACAAAAATCAGTTATAGTATTAAATATTATTCCAGTGTAAATCAGCTGTTTTCTGTGTGAATATATAGTAAAGTGTAATTTATTCCTGTGATCAAAGCTGAATTTTCAGCATCACCAGTGTCAGTGTCTTCAGTGTCAAATGATCCTTCACAAATCAGTATAATATGAGGATTTGATGCTCAAGAAACATTTATTATTATTATCAATGTTGAAACAGTTGTTGGTCTGTCAGTTGTACGGTTTTTTTTTTTTTAGGATTCTTTGATGAATAGGAAGTTCAAAAGAACAGCATTTGTTTGAAATGGAATCTTTTGTAACATTATAAATGTCTTTACTGTCCTTGATAAATAAAAGTATTGATTTCTTTCCTCCCAAAAATTAAAATAAAATTTTCACTGACCCCAAACTTTTGAACGGTAGTGTATATATAGCAAAATTTAAACAGCCAAATATTAAATTGATTTATTCTCGTTTACTCACCTCCATGTTGTTCTTTTATCTATGAAACACAAAGGGAAAAAGTCAGAGATTCTGCTTGTCATACAATGACGAAGTGAATGATAAAGCTGAACTCCAAATGGAACAAAAGCAAGCAGCATAAAATGACCATCACAGCAATTGTGTGCTATATTCTGATGCCATACAATAACATTTTGTATGTTTTAAAACTTAAATATTTTTAAGTCATTATTCACTCAAAACAAGCAGCATAAAATCGTCATTTTAGTAGTTGACACTGCTTGTGTGCTATATTCTGATGACATACTGTACAATTCCATTGTGTATTTTTCAAGACTTTACCCAGCTAACAGGGAACATTACCAGAACTTAAGCTAACGTTGTAGCAAGGTTCTCTCAAATACTCTCCCATTATTGTTAATCGAACATTCGTTCAGAGTTACCTGGTCTTTATTATTTTCTTATTTTCTTTATTATTTTCTTATATAACAACACAAAAACATTACTTATACATTGTTCATTGAACATTTTAGTTAATGTTTTTTTTTTTTTTTTTTATATTACTAATTGTTTCAGAATGTTCAGAGAACATTTAAAAGTACATTTCCATGATGCTTATAAAATGATTCAATTAAATGTTCCCTAAACGTAAAAAAAAAAAAACAGGGAAAAGTTTTTTTTTTGGAACATTCATAAATAACAAACCGTTAGCAAAATGTTCTTGTTAGCTGGGTATTCAGTCATAACATTCCCCTCAGCAGGAGCTCTTAAATCTCATTTGTGTTCATGTTTAACCAAGTAGCAACGTCGCAATCAAGAGACAAACGAGATGAAGCCAAACATTGCGTGATACATCTAAATATGCCTTTTTTTTTTTACTTGCACACCAACACAAATGCTCCTATTCCTTTAAACAGTTTAAATTAAATTAGCAAAGTCCCCCAGGAAACCCGCACACATAACAGATTTTCAATTTTTCTCTTGACAATAGTTAGTGTTCTGTGCTGTGATCGATCACTTTAATTTACTCTGGAGTTTTGTCTGAGCGGTAATAAACTGGCAGATAATATACCCCCAAAAAATGCACAATGAATTTTAAGTAGGCACACATGGGCGAACTTCCAGTTTTCCTTATAAAGAGGCCTCAGAGTGCGTTGAAATTAACATCGTCACGTACAAGGAAAATAAACGTCCCCAATTGTGAAAGAAAAAAGGCCATAGCAGCTCAATATGATAATGTGCCATATGTAACTCTAGCTCACCGCTTTCACTTTTCCATAAGCAGAAGTCTAATATAGACCTTTACAGGGCACATCAGGAAAAAAGGCCTATTCCAGGAAAAAGCACTCGGCCCATGTAGAGCACCAAAGTGTGCTATTTTTAAGAGATGTATTGCCAAGTATGCTTGCACACACAAGGAATTTGTTTTGGTGACAGAAGCAGCTTCCAGTGCAGAGAGACAACAAAAGTACACAGACAGTAAAATTAAAATAAAGATATGTAAATAAAATATAACATTTTATACAATAGTAATCATTTTTTTCCCACAGGAAAATGTAGGGAACAGTTTATGAATCTGTTCTTTAAAGTTAAAAAAAAACAGCAAATTGTAAAATATAAAAGGTATGGTAAAAAGGAATTCTTGAAAAGAAAGTGAAAATTCAACGAAACATGATGAATAAATAATTGTCCTAAGTAATGCTACTTTTTTTGTTAATTTGAATTTGCTTGTTCACCAAATGCAAAATGCATCAGGCAATACATTTGTCAAGGAAGATACACAGATTTCTTGTTAATTTTCAATTAGTAACACAATATCATTTTGGTAGCCGTATATACAGTTGTGGTCACAATTATCTGCACCCCTGGCAAATATAATCAAAGATGGCTGTAAAAATAAATCTGCATTGTTTATCCTTTATTTCAAAAATTAAGAAAACATCTAACCTTTAATTTAAGTTAAAAAAAAATCACATTATGAAATAAATTTTTTTCTACAAAACAAGTTGGCCACAATTATTGGCAACACCTAGAATTTTTTATGGGTAAAATATCTCTGAAATATATGTCCATTATATATTTTTTTTAGCAAAGTAGCACAGCAGGGTGACTAGGAACATGAAATTGTCTAACTATGACCTCCTGTTTCACAGGAGTTTAAATATGTGACCCTGGATCACAAAACCAGTCACAAGTAGACAAGGGTAAATTTTATGAGTCAAAATTATCGATTTTTCTTTTATGCCAAAAATCATTAGGGCATCAAGTAAAGATCATGTTCCATGAAGATATTTTGTAAATTTCCTACCGTAAATATATAAAACATTTATTTTTGTGAGTGAATGCACCACAATCGCGAACATAAATGGACAACTTTAAAAGGCGATTTTCTCAGTTTCGATTTGTTTGCAGTTTGCACCCTCAGATTCCAGATTTTCTAATATTTGTATCTCGGCCAAATATTGTCCTATCCTAACAAACCATACATCAATGGAAAGCTTATTTATTCAGCTTTCGGGTGGTGTATAGATCTCAAATTGACCCATATGAGGTTTTGTGGTCCAGGGTCACATATGAGGAAACACAAAGGCCAAATTGCCTTAAAGGGGTCATATAATGCCATTTTTGTACAAGCTAATATGATTCTTTAGGGTCTAAATTAAAAGTTTGTAATATACTTTAATTAAACACTCTCATTATTATTGTAAGAAAACACTTATTTTACCTGGTCAAAAACAGCTCTGTTTTCAGCACGCCGTTTCAGTGCATATGACTTTAAATGATAATGAGCTTTGCTCACCCCGCCTCTCTGTTCTGTGCGTACACCGTTTGTAACACAATAACACAATAACCATAACGCGTTGTTCAGTATAAACGTGGGATTATGAATTATATTGAGAACGTCATACATAGAAAACATGCCGTAATGTACCCTGAGTGTAAACCTTAGACGCATTCATTGTGAAGCGTGCAGCTAGCGATTTGCAAAGATTAATATATTAATATAAAGTTTAATAAAACGTTACACTCACTTCCGTTCTTCTGGAGATTCAGCAGGAACACGAATATCTGGTACCGATCCATTTTTCATGAGCAGCTTCTTAGCAAATACAGCTTTATACTGATCCTCGTTTATAAAGCAGTCTGGTGTGTGAAATGATTCGCGCAAACATGAGAGCATTGACGTTGCTCGTGGGGAATATTCCCTTCGAAAACAAACTCAGCCACTGCGTCTTCAGCAGTTCGGATTTAGGAACATTAAAATGACTGCTGTGTTCGTTATTACACCCAAGAACAGAACACCACAATCGCTTAGACGCCATTCTGCTCATAGACAGTGCTCCAGCATATCAACAATGACCGCGCCGGTCCGCGCAGACTATGATTGACAGCTCCCTCACGAGCGAGGGCGGGTCTGTGTTGAATCGCTGCTGTCAATCAACAATCGTGGGAGGGGCGTGCGAGCTTGTGACGTCAAAGGCTCGAACGGCTTAATTTGAGGCAGGGGAAAACATATAAGGAGATTAAAACAAAACCACTGGATGGATTTTTATCATTATATGATGGTTGTGTACAGACACTGCCAACACACATTTCAGTATCAACTTGTAAAAGTGCATGTACCATTATATGACCCCTTTAATCATCCATAAATTCTCCTGATAAACGAAAGTTATGTGTCAGTCTGGAGTGTGAGCTTTGTTTTAGTGAAACAAAATGATGACAGATCTAATATGACATACTAACCAAGAAGGATCAAACAAGGAGTCACAGGCAAGTTACCCATTTTCTCAAGGTCAGCAGGAGTGGCAGACATCTATTAGTGAAGAAAACAATTTAAGATGCCTGACAGTATCTGCAAATAAAAAATTAAAAACTTAATGTGCTACTTGTTGCTTATATTCAACAAGTTGCTTATATTCATTACAGAGGCAAAATGCCTATCATATTGAGAATATGAATGGTTTATGTAAAAATTATAATTTTCTCATTTACTCACCCTTATGCAGATTTAAACTCCAATGATGCAAAAGATGACATTTTAATGGAAATTAAATGTCTGTTTGTCCCTACAATGCAAAAGAAGAGAATGGGGATCAAACTTTCAAACACCAATAGTAATTCATGAGTCACATGGTTTAACCCGTTTTCTGAAGTGATTCAATTTGCTTGGGTGAGACCAGACCGAACACTTTTCACCGTATATCTAGCAATTGCAGTCTAGTTTGTGATGCTTTGATCTTATATCTTTGATATTAAATTAAATGACTGGTGAC